GGGGCACTTCCGACAGCCTTGCTTCACAAATATTTAACAGTGGCTTACTCTTTGTGGCCCTGTGCATCCATGACAGCTTCATCAGTTGTATGAGCAAAGCGGTATTTTTCTCTCAGAGCATCAGCAGATTTAAGGAATTCGGTTTTTAGATCACCATCACTTGTAAAGTAACCAACAAGAACAGCATCAAATCCACCAAGAACTTTCTCCATTGTTGCAGCATCTGTCACCTCTAGAACACAAGATTAGAAATTTCAAAGAAAAGTACAATATAGCCATTACACAGGCTCTCTCAAGGTTTCTAGGAAAGAAAGGAACAAGGCACATTTTGCAAACAAAGGAACAAAGCTAAAAAATGTGAGCTTCAGGAACAAAGGAAAAATTTCCAAAGGAACACAGACACCCCCCTGGAAGACCAGCATTATGCATTTAAAATATTGGTAACAGCTAAATCTATCTTACTGGTGTTAGTTCTATTATAATACAGTATACCTTTTGAGCTTGGTCCAGCCTGTTTCTTCATGGTTGACACAATACCCTCTAAAAAAATTTAATTGGGGGTTGATTAATACAACATAGTTGTGGTTAATTTGTGCGTAATTCTTCAGCTAGCCTACGAAAACAGCTGCTACTTGTTTAGTAGGAGCAGGAAAGTAGCGGCTGTTTTCACAGGCTATTCTTCAGCATGAGAGTACATGCTTTATGTTTGTAGTCACTCACTAGCTTCACGAGGGCCGTCGTAATCTTTCTGTACTTCACCATTTCTGAAGACTTTCAAAGTTGGATATCCACTGACACCATGTTTACTGCAAGTGTCTTTGCCTTCTCCTACACAATCAACCTAGAGAAAAGACGGTACAATTAGTTAACCCATTCAGTGGCAGCACTTTTTCTAAAGGTTATTTAAAATTATTCAAATTTGCATATAACATGTAAAGTTTTATTAGTTAGAAATTGCCGTAAAGTTTTATTAGTTAGAAATACATTTATAGAAGAAAAAAAACACTCGGATTATAACTTTGTCTACAGGTTATGGGCCCAGAACATGCTGTTAGGATCATTTAACAATCCTTTGTCTAACCAATTAATAAACAAGGGTTTGCTCTTGAATGTCTGGCTAAGGACTCTCCCTTTCTCAAGTAAAGTCAGATGGCATAAAGCAAAGTCGTTTGACAGAGTAAATAATAAATTGGGCACATTACTTTGTGAAGGTTTTAATAGCCACTATTGAAACTAAGTGGTTGGCTAATTGGCAGCTGGTCAATTTCCCAGGAGAGTAAAACAACTGCAGAGGAACCAAAATAGCACTCAAATATCCCCTAGGAATTGTTCTTCGGTTGTGGTTCGATTTTGAATCTCTTGGGGAAGCCAAATTTGTAGTTTTGCAGGTTACTGGTTGTTATAAATGTTTTCCCCTCCCCCCTGACATGAAATACACATAGTTGTACATTTCACATTTGTATATAAATTAATAAGTATTCATTAGTTTAAATGTACAAATGTTAACACCGGTACACTACTCTAGATTACCATTTTCAGCGAGAACAATAATTAAAAATATTGCAATGCAGCATAGAAAATCACTGGAATCACTGCAAATATCTCACCTTGACCAGCGAGACGGGGGGATCGCCTTTTTTTAACGTTGTCGCAGCTTGCTCATATTCTGGCGCTAACCGCTTACAATGTCCACACCTAAATAATAATTAGAATAACCTTTAAATTTAAGCATCAAAATTTAACACTTTCTATGTCACAAAAGATTGTGCAAGCCACTCATAATTGTACACCAAGTTTTATGATTAATTTTACTCACCACGGGGCAAAAAATTCAACTAAAGCTAAGTCCATAGTCTTAATACGACTCCCAAAATTACTATCTGTCAGTTCGATTACATCTGAACCATATACAGCGCCCAAAAATGCAAAAATTAGAAAACTAGAGGTCGCCATTGTCAAACCTTGGTGAAAAGAGAGTTCGTCGTGTACATGTGTACGATCGAATACCTCTGTTGGCTGCGTTTTATTGGTCGGTTTGTACCACGTGGTTCATTCTTGTCACGCTATGATTGGTTGGATTTGAATGCCCGAATAAATTTGGAATAATTGGCTGTAGTGACACTGATCTTTATGTGCAAAAAAGTCAAAACTGGATGGAAACTTCATTCCAGTCTGTATTATTGAGGTCAGTGTTATTACCGTGGATGGAGGGAAAAGACTGGAAAGAGGCGGGAAAAAAATCGAAAAAGACACGAATGCCAGTGAGCGGTGTATGTGTTTTGAAAAAAACTTGCTTTTTATTGCTTTTTATGCATTTTTTTCTTGTGAAAAGAATCTAAATTGGTTTTCAGGTAAATTTTGTGCCATTCTAGATTATGTTTTGTGTGTTTGTTTTGTTGAAATTGCAAAAAATATAATTTTTTTTGTCGTTTAAAAAGTGTATGTATTTTTTTCGAACGTAAATTTATTTTATAATTAGTCGAAAGCGTTCTAAGTGCTATATATTTTATATATTCTTTGCACTACTAAGTATATAATTCAATGCTGTTTTAGTTTTGTTTATTTGCTTTTGATAAAGTAGGATAGAAGTATAGTTTTAAATAAAATTTTTATTTAAGTATAGTTTTTGCCCGCCACATTTTCCCGCCACGTTCAGTTTTCCGCCAGATACCATTAAAACTGCAAACTTTTGCATTTTTTATTGATAGTAATAGTGATATACATTTCACTGAAATTTTCCCGATGTGATACATTTATAAAGTGTGTCTTTAAGGCCTTTATCAACATACAAACGGAAAGACGGTACCATCTCCATTTTGTATGAAAGTTTATCACAAATCCGAACCCCAAACAAAGTTAAAAATGAAATGACAAATATGCTACAAGAAAGCTTGCAGATACTGCTGATTCTATGCCTTTTTTCTGTCATCTCCAAGTTCAATGATTTTCAAACATTTCAATGTATCTATCTGTCTTCACTTTTCATCAGTCATTATCCTGCTGTATTATACAATGGGGCAGCGGGAGCTGGGTTAGCATATTGAGCTTGATTATAAGCCTGTGCATCTTGAACTGCTGCTGGCTGCGTCTCTGGTTGACTCACTAGTCCATCCATAAAAGCAGCTATTGCATCTGAAAAAAATTAACAATAGTTAATACTGACTAGTTGCCATTTACTATTACGAAAGTCACCGAACTGTGGAATCGCATCAAAAATTCGTATATCGACTACTTCCACAAACGTCTACGACCGCGCCTACATATTTTTGCATGTTTACAATTCTCTTCTAAACAGCCAGTCGACGTTTAATTGGAATTGTTACCAAGAACCTGATTGGCTGTTCAAAATTAGAATTGTAAACATGCAAAACTCTGTAGGCTCGGTCGTAGACGTTTGTGGGAGTGGTCGATATACAAATTTTTGATGCGATTCCACAGTTCGGTGACTTTCGTAATAGAACATTTTCTCACATAGAGAGAACTCTCCTATTTTGCAATGGGAACACGGGAACAAATCCTTCAGTTTATCCACTGATGAACTGTCTGTCCTTCAGTTTATCCACAGATGAACTGTCTATCCTTCAGTTTATCCACAGATGAACTGTCTATCCTTCAGTTTATCCACAGATGAACTGTCTATCCTTTAGTTTATCCACAGATGAACTGTCTATCCCGTCTATCCTTGATCCAAGTTATGTCACTCATCATTTTTGGCGTCTTTTTTCATAGAAAATTCAGCATACCACGAAGACCGTTACTTAGGAAACTGGGCAATGGAACTGAAGTATTCAACTTTTATGGTAGGAAATATTACTTTACTGTCTAAAATGAAATACACAGTGTAGATCTAACCAGGAGTTGGCAAATATAGTCCCTCTGGCGATGACCGGGCATGTGGCCTTGCGATTCCCGTGCAGCGCTCTAATCAACTCAGCTACAAGACGAAAATTCCATATCAAAAAGTCCTTCAATATTTACAAGAAAGTTTCGGATTGATAGGGATAGAACTTCTGGAAAATACAAGGAGAACTTCGACGTTTCGAACGGCGAAGGTCTTCGCTCGAGAAACGTCTATGCGCTACTTTAATTATGTGGACTTACATGCATCTTCGGCTCCATAATATTCTCCTTCATATTTTCCATATTTAAAGAGTTTTACTTGAGGCCAACTGCGAACTCCAAATTTTCTACATGTAGCCATTCCTGTTCCGAAACAATCAATCTAAAATAAAATAATATTTTGTATGAAGCAGGAGAGTGGTAACTCCCCCCATGGTTTGATTTGAGAGCGATAGAGATAGTGGTAGCAATTGGTAAACTTGAATTGACCATTTGCGTAATAGACTAAATTTTGATCTAAACAAGTCAAGAGAAAAATTTCATCACATCTTGAAAGAGCATCACAAAATTAGTAATATTCCAAAAGTTTCGTTGCGAAATGTTGTAAAATGTGGAAAATATAGCCTTGCGAAATTTGCAGTTTTCAGTCATTTTAGACTACAAACGGGAAATTGACAGCCTCAAAGGGTTTGGGGCTGTCAATTTCCCATTTGTAATCTAAAATGACTGAAAATTGTAAATCAATTATATAACTGTAAATTGTAATAATTGTAAATTGTAAATTGGATCAAAATTTAGTCTATTACGCAAATGGTCAATTGGTGGGGCTGAACAGACAAATGAATTAGTAGAAAAGTATCGCGTGCGTCTTAAATGCAAGGATAAAAGGCCTGACCTCTCGTAAGAGCCACCTTGAAACCGCCTGCTACGCATGTACGGCTGGCGAAATCCTACAAACATATTTGCAGCGAATTTTGTCACTAACTAATCACAAACTGAAGTATCGCGGCAACCTTTTTGTCATGGCGCGGGACAATGATCGAGAAAATAAAACTTACTTTCGCTAAAACGAACTTCTTCTTTGCTCCAAGTATTGACGCCGCTGATTCGTATTTGGGCTCCAATCTTTTACAATCACTGCACCTATAGAGTAAAGAAATGTCACGGATCTGTTTATAAAATGCCAATATGACGACAATGAACATTTAGAGAAGTAAATCCTAACCGTCAGTTACCAAATCTGGGCGAAACTTTGTCCGCCTAACTTGTCAAACGGGAATGAGAGTTGAGAAGCGAGAGTTTGCACGAGAGACGCGAGAGTTTGCACGAGAGTTTTCTCAACTCTCATTGCCCCGGTCAAACGAGAACAAGAGTTGCATGAGAGTTGAGAAGCAAGAGTTTGCATGAAAGTTTTCTCAACTCTCATGTCCCGGTCAAACGAGAACAGCTAGGTGTTGCATGAAAGTTGATGAGAGTTGCGAGTTTGTATGAGAGTTTTCTCAACTCTCGTGCCCAGGTCAAACGAGAACAAGAGTTGCATGAGAGTTGATGAGAGTAGACTGGATATTACCGCGTGATAGCGAAAACTGTTATCAACTCGCATTAAAATTTGAACCAGTGCAAAGTTGATGAGAGTCGATAAGAGTTGGCGGGGAAACGCGGGCGAGAGTTACAACTTTCATCCTCGTTTAAACCGAGGCTAAAAACCGCCAGTTACCAAACCTAGGCGAAACTTAAAGCTATATAAGCTGATCAAACCGTTTAACAAGATACTTATTTTATTTACATAATAATATACTATTTGCGATATTTACCAAGGCGCGTAAAATTCGACCAGCATCGCTTCCTTGTCTTTCATATACTGATCAAAGTCATTGTCCGTTAGTTGAAACACTGCATCACAATTAACTGCCACACTACCCAACAACACCAAAAATACGGAATACTGCATCTTTAGAATCTTTTTATATACAAAAATATATAAATGTTTAGTTTCAGTGGCGAACCTGTATATCTTTGAGCTTAGGTCATAAGTCAAAACATTCGCTACGCATGGCTGAGCTGTTCAATAAACCTTAATTCCTATTGACGTTATATTGCACTTTGGTTTGTCAGGTAACAAATTCTATTTCCCCTCTATGTAATTGTCACGATAACAAATTCTATTTCCCCTCCATGTAATTGGCGGCAACAGATTCTATTTCCCCTCCATGTAACTAGATCGTTTTCGTTTGACCGGGGCTTGAGAGTTGAGAAAACTGTCATGCAAACTCTCATCAACTTTCAACCTCATTTGACCTGGCTTTGAGACGAAGCGATATTCACGTCAACTCCTATCAACTCTCAACAACTCCTATCAACTCACATAAACTCCTATCAACTCTCAACAACTCCTATCAACTCACATAAACTCCTATCAACTCTCAACAACTCCTATCAACTCTCAACAACTCCTATCAACTCACATCAACTCCCATCGGCTTTCATCAATTCCTATCAACTCACATCAACTCCTATCAACTCACATCAACTCCTCTCATCAATTCCTATCAACTCACGTCAACTCCTATCAACTCACATCAACTCATATCGGCTCTCATCAATTCCTATCAACTCACGTCAACTCCTATCAACTGTCAACAACTCCTATCAACTCATATCAACTCCTATCAACTCACATCAACTCCTATCGGCTCTCATCAATTCCTATCAACTCACGTCAACTCCTATCAACTGTCAACAACTTCTATCAACTCCTATCAACTCACATCAACTCCTATCGGCTCTCATCGATTCCTATCAACTCACGTCAACTTCTATCAGCTCTCATCAACTCACAGAGAGCCCGCGAGTTGACTAAAATCGTAAATAAACGCCTGTGTCAAGGAAAGAAGAATGTATAAACACCATTTGCTATAACTTACTAAAATTTTTGATATTTATAACACACTTTCTTTTTTGAAACATAGAAGTTCTATTATTATTATTATACTACACTCTGAAATATATCTCTCGACTAAAGAGATCTTTCCGTATCTACAGTGATTTGATTTAAAATATATTTTATATTATCCATCTTGTGTATGGGTTTAAATGCTTTTTTTTAGTACGTACGTATTTGTTTCCGTTCTTTACCCCTGAGTCGAGTGAGCCATCTAAACGTATTCTAGTAAAACTACAGTTTTGAGAGAGATGTTCAAGAGCGTTAATCCTTGGGGTGGGGTCTGCACCCCCTACTTGTTAGACCTAATAATTTACTCTTAAGCTACGTTTACACGCCACGATTAATCGTGTACGATTCGTATTCTGGTGTATTAAAAAGAGTGCTGGCGCCATAATTCATTGCCGTTTCGTTAAAAAGAAATTTCAAATGTAGCCAGCTTACGCGTGTTTACTCAATGACATACGCCAGAAAACGAATCAATCGTAATCACAGCGTGTAAACGTAGCTTTATTCTTGTCAGTACACTATACTACACTACCACAAAATAGGAAAGTACAGCAGAAGTGTAACTTGGGTCGGTGTTTACGTCCACGAAGCTCACGCCATCCTGGCTAGTACAGCCAGAAGTTTTTATCAGGTTTTGGTAGGTACAAAGTGTCGGTTGTACTATACTAGCCAGGATGGCGTGATTGATGACGAATCGCTTGTAAAAACGTGGACAAATACTTGCTTGAGTGAGACTTCTGCCGTACCTTCCTATTCTGTGACACTACACTACAAGGGCACACTACACTGCTCATGGTGTCATTGACCTCACTGGTTTCAATGCATGCCATTGCGCAATATCTAACTCCGGTTTATCAATAATCGTCTCCCAATGTCGATACCCGCTTGCTGTAATATCATCTTGCCTACCAGTTCCCAGAAACACATAACCAACTCCTTGTTTTGTTACTGACTTTGAAAATACTGTTAGTTTTACAAGAATCTGTTTCATTTTAGCACGAGAAAAAAATCCTGATAGTTGAAAGGTTTCTTCGAATGAAGGGTTGTTGGATTTTGTGATCAGTTTTGATTTGATACGTTGCACGATTTCATCACAGAATATTACGTGGATTTTCACGTACGTGTCTGAAACACAAGAGAAACAAAAGAACAATTTCAGAATTGACACAGAGTGAAGCTCGGATGAAACGAGGATGAGAGTGCATGAGAGTTGACAGTCACGCGATCTTGGTTGGCTGTTCTTAATGCTTTCCCAACACCATCGTGTATTCTATTGAAGTTAAAACACAACCTCGTACCCAGGGCCTTTGCGCGGTTCAGAGACCAGAGCCTCTGAACCGCGCAAAGGCCCTGGGTACGAGGTTGGTTAAAACATAGTTGGAACACACATCAAACCTTTATCTTGTTAATCTAGAGCTTGAAATGTCTGCCATAACAATGCCTGACTGGCAACTCCATCCTCGTTTGACCGGGGCGTGGGGGTCTGAAGTGGTTAGTTAGGTACATACGAACAATTTTAAAAGTTTGGGAAAGTTCAGTCGTTAGTGAAGCCACTTCATGGTAAAAGGCATATAACATCTTAGACTTAAGCCGTGTTTACACTACGTGCCTAAGCCTGGCCTGGGCCTATCTTTGGACTAGATTTTTGTAGTGTAAACGCACTTTGGCCTGGCCTAGGTCAGGAAATCTGGAACACCTGTTCTGATATAGGCCCAGATTTCCTGACCTAGGCCAGGCCGAAGTACGTTTACACTACAAAAATCTAGTCCAAAGGTAGGCCTAGGCCAGGCTTAGGCTCGTAGTGTAAACACGGCTCCAGGCATCGATTGGGCATTTACACTACCCTGCTAGCGATGGTTTCTATACTTGTGTGTGAATTCAGTTGCCAACATATTCCAGACCTTTTGTTCAGCGCTGCAAGTCTCCGTCTCTTAAATCTCATCAAGACAATTTGTTGAATAGAATTTGCTGGATATGTGGCGATTGCCCTTCTCGCCTATCCCACTATACCCTTTCTCAAAGTGTTGGTATTAATGGATCAATTTCTCTTTAAAATAACTTTGTAAACTGCTTGGAAATTTATTCTTTTGCTATATTCTACCAAAATGAAATCAAATAGTCGCTCAGGTCTTCTTTCTTACCCAGTGGTTTCTTCCTTCTTGACGGGCTCTTCAAATTCCGACATTCAACGATTCTCAAAGTGACAGTCTCCTTAACTTGGTCGTATTTCAATCTCACCAAGATTTCCCCACACTTGGGTGACTGACTCGTCTAAAATATATGATTGCTCATAAAAGTAAGAAACATGAACCATCAACTTTTGTCAGGTATCGTTCAAAGATTTTAGGGCTGTGCCTATAGTTGTTTTTCTCGCAAATGCTCCTGGGGTCGGTTGTATAAAACTCTTAATCACTTTTTTAATCACTATTTTGTAGTTAAATAGTGATTAACTCTCAAATACGCGCTTATTGAATGACGTTTCCACTAACTATAGTTAACTTTAATCACTTTTTTATACAACCGGCCCCTGGTTAGGTTTAAAAGTGTGTAAACATTTATATTCGAGAATTCCTCCTATAAACCATCAGTCTGTAATTAGTTAACCCAATCCTTTTGTAAGTCTAATCATGAATCTTGTTTTTTGTCGAAATCCATTTCAAGCCGAGATATGGATTAAAATCAAGACAACATTTTATATGGTGATACTTCCACTTTATATCAAAACCTTCTTACAAAGTCGAAATATCGCCATATATTTTCATATATTTTTATATATCTTTAACATGCATTTCTTCAGAATTGGATTTATTTTCTATTGTTTCTGTCTTAACTCATCATTGTATCACACGGATCAAAAGATATTTACAAATTTAAAGTACTTTCTTTACCTGCACTATACCAGGATGCTGTAGTTCAATGGTCTCATTACGCGGGAACGATGGGGGTAGTCCTAATACCATGTGCACCGCCTCCCCCACGACTGTCGCATTATCAATAACACGAAATGATATCTTTGTGCCATTAAACAAATCTGGTGGAAAATCACTGACTACGCATGTCTCATGGAATACTGACTCGTCCATATTAACAGATGAACAGCACTTCGTTCTAAACTCTTGGTGAAATTGTGAGAATTCAACTTGCACCCACACGCACAAACTTGGTTGTTCACTGAGGTTTGATAACGTCGTTACATTATTCACACTTATAACTGTCACATTTAGCTCGCTTGTAGCAACTCCATAGTAAAGTGCAAATTTTATACTTGGTTGTATGTCTTCACTGATCAAACTAAACCTAGAAATTAAATGCGAATTAAAATTTAGTACTACAGTCGAGTCTCACTATAGGAACATCTCTCTATTACAGACACCTCTTTAATACAGAAACCTCTCTAATACAGACACCTCTCTAATACGGACATCTCTCTAATACAGAGACCTCTCTAATATGGACATCTCTCTAATACAGACACCGCTCTAATATGGACACCTCTCTAATACGGACATCTTTCTAATACAGAGACCTCTCTAATATGGACATCTCTCTAATACAGACACCTCTCTAATATGGACACCTCTCTAATACAAAAATCTCTCTACTAATGACGCCTCTCTAATACGGACATCACTCTAATACGGAGACCTCTCTAATACAGACATCTCTCTGCTAATGACACCTCTCTAATATGGACACCTCTCTAATCCAGACATTTCTCTACTAATGACGCCTCTCTAATACAGACATCTCTCTACTAATGGCACCTCTCTAATATGGACACCTCTCTAATACAAACACCTGTAAACTACAGACACCTCCAATGCAGAGACGCATTCAGCTCTCATTTACAATATAAGATGATTAGAATCCCCTCCCTCCGCGTCGCTATATTATATACAGAAATATGGTGTTTTCCAAACCTAAACTATTTAATATACCATACCTGCTTCTCGTTTTGGGCGAATAAATATTCAAATCTTGTAGAGAAATAGAACCAGACAGCTTATGATTGAATGATTTTCTTTGAAGTGGAGATATAGGTTCCATCTTTGAAATTTTTGTGATATCTGGATTTGATTGGCTCGAATGAAGTACTGTACTGACTGGCATATTATTATTCGTTCGTACAACCATCGTATCAAGGTCGTACTCACCCGGTGATGCTTCTTCGTTCGGGAAAGCGTTGGGCGAACGGACCGGTTCTTGAACTTGGACTTTGCGTGTTAGGGGTAGACTGAATCCTGGGATATCATGAGGGAGTATTGTAGGTGTACGGTTGATAGCGGTGGATTTCTTGGGACGTCTGGATTTATAACGACTTGAGGAGAGTTTGTAGATGAGGAAGAGCGCAGCCAGTAATAACAGGCCTGTGGCTATCCCCAGGGCTATCGGGAGGATATCTAAATAAAATAGGTATTGCAGAACGATCTATAGACAGTAATGATGAACTAAACTAACTTTATTTATACTGGTCTCAGTTGTTCTCCTTAGGCTCGTTTCAGACGGCGTACTTATCATGTGCCGAACTTAATTGATGAATTAGGTACGGCAGAAGAGCGACGTATAAATCAATTAAGTACGGCAGAATTTGGAGCGGCAAAAGTTCGGCAGAGCTTGTCCGCTTGTCGTATTATGCGACGTTGGAGCGACATTGATTCATACGCCGCTCCACTCATGTGCCAAACCTAACTCAACTTTAGTCTAAAAATAAACTTATTTATTTTGAATTTTATTTAGGTTTCGCTGGCGAATGCGCCCCGACCTTGTCAATAACATTGTATTTGGTACGCCGTTTGAATCACTGCCGTTCTTGTGTCGCATCTAATACAATTAAGTTCGGCACATGAAGAGTACGCCGTCTGAAACGGGCCTTAGAAATTCAGTGAGGCACAAACCTAATTGGTGTTGTGCTGTTGCTACAGGAGAAAATCTAAACTAACTTTATTCATACTGAATATCTCTATCAGTTCGAAGTAAGGATCACGTCTTATTATTGGTCCAGTATATCACCAAACACTTGTGGTGTTTGAGAGGGTCGCCCGGCGGTCAAACTGGACTCTTCCCCCCAGCTACTGAGGTGGAATTATGATCGAAGAGGTGAAAGACAGACTGATACAGTTCTATTCTCGACAACTGGGCTTTGTAGCTCAGTTGGTTAGTGCGCTGCACCGGAATCGCAGAACCACAGATTCGATTCCTGCGAGAGGGTCAAACTGGACTCTTCTCCCATGCTACTGAGATGGAATTATAATCGTATAGTTGTGAAAAACAGATGCATTAAACCACAGGTTTTCAACTTGGGGGACATGTCCCCGAGAGGGGACATTTGGCAAATTCCTAGGGGACACAAACTGGTCTAGGACTGAGAAAACAATAGTTGAATACAATAGTTGAATACAATAGTTTGTACTATAAACATGTTTGCTTGACTTTCTATCTATTATTTAAATCATTTACTATTTTACTAACTATTTCGAAATTCGTGTTTTTGATAGACTTCAGTGGGCAATTTCTGTTCAGGGGACGTGGTAATTCAATCATGTGAAATCGGGGACACATGAGAAAACCAGTTGAAAACCGTTGCATTAAACTAATACAGCTCTATCTTTTTTTAGTAAATATCATGATTTTCGGCATCCACACTTGATAGAAATAATTGTAGAAAGGTTTTGTAGATGAAAATTTTTAGTGTGAATTTTATACATTTCTTAAACCTAAGCAGGAGCAATTGTGAAAAATACAACTATAGCCCCTCTAGCAGGAATGGACCTATCACCTAATGAACAAAATTTTGATTGTCTAGACAAAAATTTCATCACAGCTTGAAAGAGCATCACAAAATTAGTGATATTCCGAAGTTTCGTTGCGAAATGGTGTAAAATGCGGATAATATAGCCCTGCGAAGTTTGCCGTTTTTCGGTCATTTTGTATTACGCACGGGAAATTGATACGGCTTTCTGAAAAAAACATATCACAAAATGACTGAAAAACGGCAAGCTTCGCAGGGCTATATTATCCGAAATTTACAACATTTCGCAACGAAACTTCGAAATATTACTAATTCTGTGATGCTCTTTCAAGCTGTAATGAAATTGTTGTCTAGACTTGTCTAGATCAAACTTTTGTTCATTAGGGAACAGGTTCATTGAGTGTGAATTTTATACTATTTATTATAGACCTAACCAGGAAAATGCAACTACAGCCTTCGGGCAGGAATCGAACCTACACTCGTATTTCCATCTACAAAACCCATCTACTATCCTTTTTTGGCCTTTCATTAGTTGCAGGGAAACCAGACATGGCCTCTTACAGTCTTTGGCATTGCCAATTTTTTGTTTAAAAGAACCTGTTGAGAATTTGTCTCCTTGGAAACGTCTTTGATAATATTTTAAAAAAACCCTAAGAGATTCCTTGAGCAGCGTATATCGCAAAGACTGAAGCGTTACTTGAGTTAATTAACGAGTTCATTTCAAGATCAAATATAAGCTCAAAGTTAACTATATCGGACTTTGCGATGTTTATATTTTTCTTCTAGATCTGATTCTAAACTTATTTGTCTTAAATTACTCATAGTTTTTTCTTTTTAAATTTCATAGGATTTGGTTGGAAATATTAATTATAATGAAGAATTTTGTCGATGTTGTTACAACCTGCATGAAGAGATTTCCTGATAAAACCGTAAGTGGGCTCGTGCAATATTTGAATACAATGCCCCGACAGCCGCGTAAATTACCCCGCAAACTATGCCCTAGAATGGACTGAATGAATGAATGTATTAGGATTGCATGTGATACCCAAACTCCCCAAACAATGTAACTAGCCAAGGTTTAGCTATACGTATAGCTCTCAATTATAAGGTTGAAATGGTGCGGCTTATCAAAATACGTCAGACCAAACGATAATTTCTCACAATCGTTTCTCCCACAGTCGTGGGTAAAAAGCTTTCCCCAAGAATGCCATTATGATTGCATGTGACCTCCAACAATGGCTAAGGTTTATCCTGATCAAGATTGAGATTGCGCCCACCTTAAATTATAATGTACGTCACACAAAAAATTGATTTTTTTATCAATGACAATAAAAAGTTCCCACAAATTCCGTTATAATTGCATGGTGACACCAAGACACCCCAGGGCCCAACTATGTAGGCTAGTCATACAGGTTTAGCAACAGTGGTTTAGTTTACGCGTAGACTGCGTAGTCTACTTAACTGGGTTGAAATAACCCAGGATACTGCTCATGTGACTTCTGGAAAGTTTATATCCAATGCCTTATTTGAATACAGTGTAAATTATTTTTTAAATTTGACACCGAAAATGGCCAGTCAAAGTTGAAGTAGCGAGGCGGCAGATATGGTTACAGTCATGTCTCTAATTACCGCTGAGTTAGGCCACCTGATGTAGCGTAGGGGATTCTACTATAGGAGATATATGATTTCCCAGCTCCAAACATCCTCGTTGCAGGCAGCCGAGAAGCCCTGGAACGAGGATGAGCTCCGATTTCATCTGCTTCAAACGTCAAGTTCAAGTGGGGTAGTTCTGGATAGTTCTCTGATTCGTGGGATTCTCTGGGTCCTCTCTCACGAAAGTTGCGCACCGTTGATATAACTCGTATGGTGGCAGCCTGAAGCGCCCTAGTAAGACTTGGTCACGTTTGATCCTTTGCAGAATAGCTGTCAGCTGCAAGTAAGAAAGATTAGCACTTCCCGACCTTAACTGACTTTTACATTCATGGTTAAGCTTGAAATAGCCCAAGATTCTTAATTCTATTACCTGTGATAGGGAAAGGTCATTTCGTGTAAATGATTATGTCAATAAGTGGAACCAGACTATAATGCTTATGTAAAGCTTACTATAAATAATTGGCAAAAACATTTGAATGCTGAAATTACTTTTAACGATTAACGCAAACGTTTGGCACAATAGCGAAAAGAATAGTAGGATTAAGTGTGTGGATTTATGAGTTCGATTTACTTTTGTCCAAACGACGTCAGATCTGCGTGTTTTGGCAAGTATTTTCTTGCAGAGGTTAAGTTTAGGAAGTTTTTATTCAATACAATTGGTTTCGGGAAGTTTTCTACATTGTGAGTGGGTAGATCATTTAGCTCTTGTCAGTGTAACTAGCCTCATTTTGATAGAAATAATTTTAAAAATGATATGCAATCTTTTCTCAAATGTTGGGTAACCTTAAGGTATGCATGAAAATATCTGAAATTGTATGCATCATGAAATCAATACAGCAAATTGATATCATATATAGATTTTTGGAGATAATTAATATACATCAAATATAATATCAAAAAATGTGCTTAAAAACCCTGGAAAGAAATCGTTATGCGTATAGCTGTTTTCGTCAGTATACTTTATATACTCAAGTACTTAAATACGAGGAAGCAATATTGAACAATATCAAGCCTATTCAGGCTCTAGAAGTAAATAAAAAGTCAATTCAGTAGAGCGTTAAATATCGAGATTAAACCTAAAACTTTGTTCCTATAATTTCGATCAAATGTATAATTGTTTCAACTCTCCTTTGTCGTAACATAATGCAACACGTACTTATGGTCAAAATACCAGAACGTAATTAAGATGGCATGCCTTTATTTGTGGGTTGCCAGGTTGAATTAGAGTTGTGGCCAAACTATTTGAACATAACTAGCACTTAAAACTTCCGTTTCAGTAAAATTGCCATAAAGAAATATATTGACATTGCTATTATTTTATAGGGCCAAAGTAGAAAATTAGACATATAGTCGCACAAAAACACGAACAATAAAAATGTGAAATTAAATCTTCGAGAAATCTTGCCCAATGCGTGGTGACGTTTCGTCCTTCCTGCTTTGAAAAGATCTTCAGGCGGTAATTATTGATAGGAAATACAAAGTTTATGAGGCAACATTTAATGAAGGAAAAATGGATTGTGTATGAAATCAATTTTAGTTGAAGTCGCTACGTCTTGTGTATGGTTAGGTTTTTAAAATTTTCAAGTAGTTGCTCGCAATATTTTATTGACTTTATATAAAGTTGAACACCACTATCGCATACAGAGTGGAGTGGCATATATGTCGTATACAAATATCAGAATATGGATTTTATAGCTCCATGTGTGTACTCGGAATTTAACCATAGCTTTAATTAGATTTACACGGAATTTTATTCTACCTGTTGTCGGAATAGACCGCATCCTGAGGGGGCAAAATTTGTAAGCCGCAATTATTCAGCAAAATTACGCAAATTTGCAACAACTATAAAAATATCAATATCATATTTGACCAGTACTAGCAATGTAACTTATACCGAGCATACTCATGCACCATTATACAATACCTCAATTCTTCAATTCTGACTTCTGAATTTTTAATTCTACGCGGAACAGTCAATGTGCGACAAGGGTAAACAATTGTTAACGACCATAGTATATTAAGTATTGTATAAAATTTGAGCAGTACCAGCGCAAGAAATCATATATATTCCTGTACATTCTCACATACACTACCCCCTTGCTTTAGGTATTTCATTTCTGACTTCTGAGTTTTAAATTTACGCAGAACAATCGCTTCACATCGCACGACACCACAGCACCGCAGTTGGTAGACAATTTAAAATTTGCGTCGGAATGTTTACAAGTATTAAAATTTGAAATCTTAGATAAACTTACATTGTCTGTGCATGGTCCTTTGTCTCTATAGAAGGAATACTACCAAATCTCAATCAGGCTTAATCCACGGTGTCTTTGCTCTCATTTTAAATCAATTTTCAGTTTCAATATATTTCAATGTATTTCGATATGACTTGATGCCCACAATATCCAGCCAGACGCGCCAGTTTCGTCACTGGCTTTCGGTTTAAATATGTATCGTGTAACCAACCCACGCTTAAAGCGAGCTTGTTCCGGTATGACAGGTAATGACGTCATTCATTGACTTATTTTTGATTCCCTGCTCTCAAAGAATCTGTTGTACAGAACTCATGTGAGTAAAGCTTTCTTTTTCATTCATTTTCCTTTGTGTTCTCTTCTTAAGCAGAGTTAACCATGTGAGCTACCCTGAGTGATCTGATGTTGTAAAGAATTCACTGCTGAATTAAGCTTGGTTAGATCATGTAGAGGTAGTACATGTTCTTGATTGTCAGCTCCCCTAAATAGTTGATCTAGAGCTGATGTTATGCAGAACTCACATGTTTTTGAGTGTGAGCTATCCTAAAGTGATGTGAAGTGATGTCACGATGTTATACAGAACTCACTGAGTTTAAGCTTGGTTATAGATGATGCAAAGGTAGTTAGATCCTCAAATGATGTGATGTTGTACAGAACTCACATGTTCTTGAGTGTGAGCTATCCTAAAGTGATGTGATTTCAGAACTCACTGCTGAGTTAAGCTTGGTCAGACGATGCAAAGGTAGTTAGATCCTATTGAAGTGATGTGATGTTGTACAGAACTCACTGCTGAATTAAGCTTGGTTAGATCATGCAAAGGTAGACCCTAAAGTGATCTGATGTTGTACAGAACTCACTGCTGTCTGAGTTATAAGCATTATACAGAGGTAGGTCATGTTCTTAAATGCTGGAAATCCAAGGGTGCTTCTTAATAACAGCGTTTTGCTAAGAGCTCAGCTGCAATGACTGTGTCCTGCCAAGGCGGAGTAATTGACTTCAAACTGTTGAAGTATAGTGGATATAGCTGAGCACTAGAGAAACCGGAGTTACAGGCCAATGAGTTTCCTAGCTCGTAAACAGATTTAACACGGTGGAGATTAACTCACTTTATGCCAGTTTATTTCACGACTAGCGAAAAAACATTGAATTGATGATTGTGTTTGGGCTTTGGATTGCGAAATGTGAATTGGGATTCTTCGATATTTGCTCTTGGAAAATGGGATTAGATTTTATCGGTGTGCGGTTTGTGCTCCGAGGTGTGTTGGCGGAAGTGCGATTTCGACATGTGCTGGGCTGGATTTCGGCTTCTTTAGTTCTTTGGAAGAAAAGGGAACGGCAGAGAAAGGAAATCGAGAAGTACTTCGCATTAATTTTAATTTAAATGTACTTCGCATTAATTTTAATTTACAAGTACCTCCATGTTGACAATGCATTAATGACTCTCTTCGCTCACTCAGGCTGGCGCATATCTATGCAGGCTGTGATCTGGAGTCTCGCCTCACAGGCCCTCACTGTATTTTTCGCAGTTAACTGGACTGTTGAATTACAAGCAGTTTCTGCTATGCCATGGGCTGGTGCCCATGTAAAGGCATTATACGGTGAAGGAGCATTTTGGCCAATCACAGTTCGCATTTCCCGGAAGTCATTTTCTTCCTATATATTGAAATCATATAATATTCATATAATATTCATATACTGATATGCTCATAAAAGGATATTTCATTCGGGCACCATTGTGATAAAGCAATGTGGAGAAGCCAACCTCTGTTTCCTGGCCGCCTCACAACATCTCCATCTCCGGCAATTGTATGTAAAAATAACGCAGGAAGTGCCACTCATTTACGATCATGTGACTAATGCCGCTCATTTTCGATCATGTGGCTGGTACTCATTGACGATCATGTGGCTAGTGCCACTCATTTTCGATCATGTACATGTGGCTAGTGCTGCTCATTTTCGATCATGTGGCTAGTTGAAGACTTCAAGTAGATTGTTCTAGACAGTTTGTTTAGTTTTTGAGAGCAACGGAATGAGTTTTGTTTTAGTGATTTCAAGTCAAAGAAAGACGGTTCATTTTACCACGTGTTTAGGCACAGATTGTCAACATATGGCCTGCCAGTATTGAGAAAGCTTGGGAAGGATAGGGATACAACTGCCTGAAAAATACAAGGAGAACTTCGACGTTTTGAACGCCCTTCGTGACTTCGTCGAGAAATTAGTGGTCAATGCATGCCAATATTCTCTATAATTTCTCTTCCTAACGAGTTGCCATGGAGATACGTAATCAGGCTTCCATGGTAACATCTTTGATCAGAAAGTGGTGAAGGAATTTCTATTTGTCGGATGTCTCGGTTATTAATACCATAACTTAATGAACTTTAAAACCTGCCAGTTCTTATTTCTTGGAACTTAGAATGGCATTCTAGCAACACCAAATTTTGAAGTGACTCTGGTAAAATCGCAAGCACATACTTGTAGACAAAAGCGTAAAAAAACTCAAATACGTGAACGTGATAATAGAACGTGCGGTAAGGATGCAACGTATACGGCTCTCAGTTGGATTCATACTGTTATAATAATAATAATTACAGCATTTAGTACGCATTTTGCACAATGTTAAAAACAATACAGTCTACCTAAAAATTTAAACAGTATATTTACAACAATTCATTATAGATTATAGAAGTTATAAAAGTAATAAAAATGCCTCTTGAATAAGGTATGTCTTCATTTCGGATTTGAACAAATCGATAGAATTTGTTTCTCTTAAATTAGGTGGTAAACTATTCGATAATTTCGGAGCTGTGATCAGGAGTGATGCCCTGTCTGGGCATTTGGGGGATGTAAGAGCGGCTGGGGGATGTAAGATACTGTGTCATCGCTCTTTATTACATAGATACTTGGCGTTAATGAAAAAGTTTCGAGAATAATATATTTGAGTTTAAACTTGTCTTCTTAAGAATCGGAAGTGGAAGAGGAATATTTTCCTACCGTCTAAAATTTATATCCCAACCTTAAAATTCCCAAAAAACTCGCCGACGAGGATGGGTGGATTGGGGAGTGTGCAATTCATTTCAATTTTTGTCTTATATTTATATTTACATTTATATTCCCGCCATCAATATTCATCAATATCCACACTACTTCAAAACACAATATTCATCATTAAGAACTTAACTTGTCCTCTTATTGTGTGAAAGCGACTCGATCTCAAACCGTTTTGTAATTATTTAATCATTAGATTTACATCGTGCTAAGACCAGCTATTGTTGAATGGATTTCTACAGTAAGGATCTAGTAATGATAAAAATACAAATTCATCAAAATATGTTAGCTCAATAGATGCACAACAATTCTAAAATTATTCCCAATATCACATTTATTTCTCTGAACTAGAACATGCTTGGATGGGATGCCATTCTTCAATAGTTAAATGAGGTTTCTCTATAATACTAGCCCAGTGTCTTGCACCATCGTCTAACAAAAATGGATTTGGCCCAACTAACTCGAACTGATAGCCCAAAAATACAACCCCAAGTAGAATATCTTTACTTAGGACACCAGCACGGTGGCCATGGTGATATAATCGTAAAATAACACTTGTTTCAGGCATTTTATTTCTCGTGACAACAAAGTCGAATGATTCGTCAAATTTTGGCGAAGTTGTGGCATGTTTGATCGTTGTTCTCTTGCTGTATTTTCGTTCACCTCCATCGTAAACTCTGATTTTTATGAAAGGATCTGGAAAGGAAATGAAATGCTTAACGTTACCATACATGGCAACAACAACAACAACAGCCATCATCATTGTCATCTTCATCATCTTCATCACAACAACAACAACAACAACAACAACAACAACAACAACAACAACAACAACAACAACAACAACAACAACAACAACAACAACAACAACAGCAACAACAACCATCATCATTGTCATTTTCATCATCACCACCACCACCACCACAACAACAACAACAACAACAACAACAACAACAACAACAACAACAACAACAACAACAACAACAACAACAGCAAAAACAGCAAAGCATCCACCATTTTTTTCTTAACAAAAATGTTCAAAATACAAACAAAAACATACTAATTTTTCCTGTCTTCGAAATTCCTTGAAGACCTTCAGCACTTTTGATTGTGATCGTCAACTTTCCTTCTGAAGGGTTGTGGAATAAAGAGACCAAGATTTCTCCCATTGGTGGACACTCACTTAACTCTGAATCATCCTGAATTAAGAGAAACAGTTCATTAATCATGCAAGGGTGACACCTGTGTGCTTATCTATTGTACTGTGCAGAACTCTCTGCTGTGTCCAGCATGAGTGGTTAGCTCATACAGAGCTTGTTCTATTCTCCAATAAACTGCATCATACACATCAGTGGCGGCGCCACGGTATTAAAAGCAGGGGATTAAAAGGCGGAAGACACCTCTAAGGGGGTCCGGAGGCATGGCTCACCCGGAAAATTTTGAAATCTAGAGTCCCTGACATACGATTTCCTGCATTCTGAGGGTAAGATTATAGAGTAAACAAAACACATGATTTTTCACAAACGTACCCCCCTCATTTTTCTCACCCGATTTGGACAAATTAGAAAAATTGACCTTGAAGAGAACTGGGGGAGACGGGTCCTCCCCGTGGCAGTAGTGATGAATAGAGTTAAGTTTCTCATGTCTTCGCTCTCAGTTGACTGAATTGGTTAAATCATGCAGAGGTAGTACTAACATGTTCTTCTACGTAGGCAATCCTAAACTGATCTGATGTTGAACAGAACTTACTGCTGAATTAATCTTTGTTAGACCTTGCAGAAGTAGTGAATGTGAGCTAGTTTAAAGTGATCTGATGTTGCACAGAATTTGTTTATTTACTTATTTCAAAACCTACCATGTGACTTTTTTCATCACTTTGACATACATCCAGACTTTCCAAAGATGATGAAGTCGCTGAACCACCGTGTCCTCTCGAATGAAGTTCGGAAACACCTCGTAAAAGTGGCGACAGATCTGTAGATTGACTGTAGCGATTGCGCCAAGTTCGTTTGTGTTGTTTCTCGATTCTTTGGATCTGAGGAGAGCTGGACGGAGTGTTGAGATTATCCATTGAAACTGAATTGGTTAACGGGTGCTGATGATGTTCTCTTTTACATGACTCCAACATATCTAAATTTTCTGATGACTTTGAAAATTTATGTTTCATTAATGATCCGTGTTTTGGAGAGTCTAGGTTAGATTCTGGGTGTTTTGATGGCGAGTTTGTAACTGAGCTTGGAATGTTACTGTGATAGAATTCATCCATATTCGGCACATATTGTGTTGGATCTAAAGACCATATTCCAGATTCTCTTGAATAGCTATGTTTTTCTGTTGATTCATATTTACCCTCTAGGCCTTTGTTGGATGACAATGGTTGAACGGGTTTGTGGACAGGACTAAACGGAGGAAAGTTCGGTTGTTTTATGGTATCCCGGGGGGAGCGGGGTTCTGATATTCGTCTGTAAGCTCGGAGCACGTACACTAGTAGGATGATTATGATCACACATGTTGAAAGTAGGACACTGGTGGCTATTAAAGCCGCTGAAATGAAGGATGGTTAGGGATGTAAATGGATAATAATTACGAGTTAGACTAAGCACCATCGTGCAGCAGATGATGGTCAACCTGCAGTTATCAGAGGGAGAAAATAATGTCAATTTTTTTCATTCTATATGGTAGTTTTGGAGGTCCTATGTCCTTATATGGGCATTCGCCTCGCGATATGGCATCTTTTGCCGCAAGTATTCATTTTTTATGCGAGAGTTATATTTTGAGGAATTTATATCATTTGCTGCTTTGTTATTTATACATGAGCATCTGAAATTCCCAGCCAGTGCATTTCACGATTTTAATAAGGAGTAGATAGGGAAAAAAACAAACTTTTGCAAAATAAAATGTTATGTTAACACTTTTAATAAAAAGAAATCAATAAAAGTGATCGCTTACCGTTATTCTACAATAATTTATTGAACAAAATTTCCATGGGTATCTCATTTTTTTAAAAAGCGATTTTCACCTTTCGAACGGCGTTTTCCCTATCTTTTGCTATGACATTTCAGCGAAGGCACTGGCTGGGAAATTTTGAGTGGCGCGTGGAACCACATGCGATCGACATTGAAGTTAAATCTGACATTGAACACCCATGTGTTTCTGACATTGAAGTTAAACTGGACATCGAACATGCAGAACATTCAACCCCTACGTGCTTTCGACATTGAAGTTAAATCTGACATTGAACACCCATGTGTTTCTGACATTTAAGTTAAACCGGACATTGAACATGCCGCGAATTTAGCACCCAGCGCAACTTCAACGTTCAAAATATGTTGAATGTTCTGCATGTTCAATGTCAGATTTATCTTCAATGTCGAAAGCACGTATAGGTGCTGAATGTCCAGTTTTACTCAATGTCGAAAATATGTTGAATGTTCTCCATGTTCAATGTCAGATTTATCTTCAATGTCGAAAGCACGTAGGTGCTGAATGTACTATTTTACAATGTCGAAAGCATGATATACATGAATATTGGCGGTGATATGACGCCATAAACGCGTAGTCACATTTTAGATATTTCAATTGTTCGACAGTTTGCCTCGGTGTAAAAGGGCAAGATGCAGAGCAAAATTCCTGACCTCATGATACATAATCCTTTATTCCACTGTTTTACTCCTAGCTATTTCACCGCCATATCTCATCAACTTTGTCAATTGATTATGGTTCACCATACAATACAAAAAATCCGGCTCTATATGTTAGATTTTATAAAAGTGTACCTTGGCAGTTTACCTCAGTATAATAGTACAAAGCCCAATAGTACAAATCGCAGTGCTAAATTCCTGACTTCAATGATACATTCTCCTTTATCCTACTGTTTTACTCTATCTATTTTATAAGTTATACTATCTTCTTCATTCGATCCTTATAATTAGAACCATTTTCTCTTACCTTGGTTCTGATCCACCATAACACAAAGCTCGGCGTCTACATGTCAGATATTTGAAGAGTATATTTGATCAGTTCGTTGACAGAAATAAGGACACACTTCTGATTGCATATGAGTATATCCTGGTTTGTTCATGTTTTTTCATGTTCTAACGTCATTATTTACATAATCGGGAGATTAGTCATTGAGTTTTACACAAAAAGCGCGACACGGTCACTTTTACCTACTGCCAGTTAAACTTCCACCTTTTGGTCTCTCCGACCATTTTACTATCCTTTCGACCCCTAAACACAAGGTCGCAGGAAGAACAAAATATGATATTTCTCAAGTTCGCACTCAACACCCGAGAAACAAAGCAGCTATCTGCGCCTTCATTACTGAATTTGACTGGTCAATCCTTGATTCCCTTTCGTCATGTGACGAAAAATGGTCTGCCTTTGAATCAATTATTCGGTTTGGGATGGACATTCTCCTTCCCACAAGAATTATAAAGAAACGGCTCGATGACCCACCATGGATGACCCAACATTTGAAATCCTTAATTCAGCAACGTCAAAAAGCATTAGCGATAGGACATGACCAGTTATTTAAAAGTCTTCGTAACCGCGTCAATAGGGAACGAAAACAATGCCGGAGTAAATACTATGACTCAAAAGTCAGTCAACTTAAAGTCTCTGATCCCAAACAGTGGTGGAAATCTGTTAAGTACCTGTGTGGAATGGATCCAGTCAACCACAAGTATGATCTCCGACATCTTCAAAGCCTGTCATCCACTGGTGATGAAACTAATGAAACCAACGAAGGCAACGCATCTCTTTCACACTTGGTGGATACCATAAATCAAACCTTCCTAGAACCAATGAACACGTTCCAAACTCTAAATTCTGACCACTCCCAAGCCTTAAACGTGTCCGGCACTAGTAACCAATTACCATCTACAATTACCACCACAGAATCGTATATTTTTGAGAAATTATCCAGTATAGTACCACGAAGGCTCATGGCCCAGACACTATTCCTGGTTGGCTTCTCAAAGAGAATACCGATGTACTAGCAAGTCCCGTGTGCAAGATTCTCAATTCTTCTTATCTCGAAAATCGTTTACCCGCTGCTTGGAAGTTGGCAGATGTAATTCCCATTCCAAAACAGAAGCCTGTACGAACTGTAAACAAGGATTTAAGGCCCGTTTCGTTAACACCAATAGTCTCAAAACTAGCCGAGGAAGTGGTAGTTGAACAGTTCATTAAACCGGCGATTCTCAAAGTGGTGGATCCTAACCAATGTGGAACGGTGCCGAAATCATCTACCACGGAAGCTCTTATTAGCATAGTCCACAATGTTGCCAAAGCCACTGATGGTTGAGAACTTCGAGAACTTTTATAATTCCTAAATGCAAGACTGAACGATTTAAAAAGTCTTTTTAATTGCTGCTAGTTCTAATAATGAAAGCAATAGTCACTGAGGATTTTATATATTTCGAAAATAACTGTTAATTTTAACTGTAATTATATATTCTTAAATACATTAATAGATAGTATTATTAATTGAAATAGACAGTCCCATTAACTTAAAGTTACAATTATTTTTATTATGTTTAGTATTTTTAGTCCGAGTAATAGATAGTATAATTAACTTAAACTTTTCTTTTGTAAAATTTAACCGTTGTAATTCAGCCTCTTATTTTGCTGCAAGATCGTTTTTTTTAAATAAATTGTAATTGAGTATATTGTGCATTAGGCAAAGAAAGCAAATTTTAACCGACGATTTATGTAAATTTCTGTGTTAAAATTATGACTACATTGAAAAGCTTTCGATCCGTAAGCCAGGACCGATCTTCATCACTCCACGATCGAGGGGATACGTCATACGAATTCGAAAGCCTGCCAAATAAGTGAATGTGGTTTTCCATAAAACAAAACAATTGGAGAACTCACTGCTGAATTAAGCATGGTTAGATCATGCAAAGGTAGACCCTAAAGTCACGTGATGTTGTACAGGACTCATGTTCTTAAAAGATGGAAATCCAAGGGTGCTTCTTTTTATAACAGCGTTATGCTGAGAGCTCAGCTAACCTGCAATGACTGTGTCCTGTCAAGGCGGAGTAATTGACTTCAAACTGTTGAAGTATGGTGGATATAGCTGAGCACTAGAGAAACCGGAGTTACAGGCCAATGAGTTTCCTAGCTCGTAAACAGATTTAACACGGTGGAGATTAACTCACTTTATGCCAGTTTATTTCACGACTAGCGAAAAAACATTGGATTGATGATTGTGTTTGGGCTTTGGATTGCGAAATGTGAATTGGGATTCTTCGATATTTGCTCTTGGAAAATGGGATTAGATTTTATCGGTGTGCGGTTTGTGCTCTGAAGTGTGTTGGCGGAAGAGTGATTTCGTCATTCGCTGGGCTGGATTTCGGCTTCTTTAGTTCTTTGGAAGAAAAGGGAACGGCAGAGAAAGGAAATCGAGAAGTACTTCGCATTAATTTTAATTTAGAAGTACTTCGCATTAATTTTAATTTACAAGTACCTCCATGTTGACAATGCATTAATGACTCTCTTCGCTCACTTAGGCTGGCGCATATCTATGCAGGCTGTGATCTGTAGTCTCTCCTCACAGGCCCTCACTGTATTTTTCTCAGTTAACTGGATTGTTGAATTACAAGCAGTTTCTGCTATGCCATGGGCTAGTGACCATGTAAAGGCATTATCCGGTGAAGGAGCATTTTGGCCAATCACAGTTTCGCATTTCCCGGAAGTCGTTTCTTCCTATATATTGAAATCATATAATATTCATATAATATTCATATACTGATATGCTCATAAAAGGATATTTCATACAGGCACCATTGTGATAAAGCAATGTAGAGAAGCCAACCTGTGCTTCCTGGCCGCCTCACAACATTTCCATCTCCGGCAATTGTATGTAAAAATAACGCAGCTGGAAGTGCATGCCGGTCATTTTTGATCATGTACATATGGCTACTCGATCATGTGGCTAGTTGAAAACTTCAAGTAGATTGTTCTAGACAGTTTGTTTAGTTTTTTAGAGCAACGGAATGAGTTCTGTTTTAGTGATTTCAAGTCAAAGAAAGACGGCTCATTTTACCACGTGTTTAGGCACAGATTGTCAACATATGGCCTCCCCAATTGAGAACTTAACTTGTCCTCTTATTGTGCGAAACTAGTGAAAGCGACCCGATCTCAAACTGTTTTCTAATTATTTAATCATTAGATTTACATCGTGCTAAGACCAGCTATTGTTGAATATATTTCTCTACAGTAAGGATTTAGTAATGATAAAAATACAAATTCATCAAAATATGTTAGCTCAATAGACGCATAACAATTCTAAAATTATTCCCAATATCACGTTTATAATTCTAAAATTATTCCCAATATCACATTTATTTCCCTGAACTAGAACATGCTTGGATGGGATGCCATTCTTCAATAGTTAAATGAGGTTTCTCTATAATACTAGCCCAGTGTCTTGCACCATCGTCTAACAAAAATGGATTTGGCCCAACTAACTCGAACTGATAGCCCAAAAATACAACCCCAAGTAGAATATCTTTACTTAGGACACCAGCACAGTGGCCATGGTGATATAATCGTAAAATAACACTTGTTTCAGGCATTTTGTTTCTCGTTACAACAAAGTCGAATGATTCTTCGAAATTTGGCGAAGTTGTGTCACGTTTGATCGTTGTTCTCTTGCTGTATTTTCGTTCACCTCCATCGTAAACTCTGATTTTTATGAAAGGATCTGGAAAAGAAATGAAATGCTTAACGTTACCATACATGGCAACAACAACAACAACAACAACAACCATCATCATTGTTATCTTCATCATCATCATCATCACAACAACAATAACAACAACAACAACAACAACAACAACAACAACAACAACAACAGCAACAGCAACCATCATCATTGTCATCTTCATCATCATCATAACAACAACAACAACAACAACAACAACAACAACAACAACAACAACAACAACAACAACAACACCAACACCAACAACAACAACAACAACAACAACAACAACAACAACAACAGCAACAGCAACAGCAACAACAGCAACAGCAACAGTAACAACAACAACAACAACAACAACAACAACAACAACAGCAAAAACAGCAAAGCATCCACCATTTTTTCTTGACAAAAATGTTTAAAATACAAACAAAAACATACTAATTTTTCCTGTCTTCGAAATTCCTTGAAGACCTTCAGCACTTTTGATTGTGATCGTCAACTTTCCTTCTGAAGGGTTGTGGAATAAAGAGACCAAGATTTCTCCCATTGGTGGACGCTCACTTAACTCTGAATCATCCTCAATTAAGAGAAACACTTCATTAATCATGCAAGGGTGACACCTGTGTGCTTATCTATTGTACTGTGCAGAACTCTCTGCTGTGTCCAGCATGCGTAGTTAGCTCATGCAGAGCTTGTTCTATTCTCCAATAAACTGCATCATACACAGCAGTGGCGGCGCCACGGTATTAAAAGCAGGGGATTAAAAGGCGGAAGAGACCTCTAAGGGGGTCCGAAGGCATGCTCCCCAGGAAAATTTTGAAATCTAGAGTCCCTGACATACGATTTCCTGCATTCTGAGGGTAAGATTATAGAGTAAACAAAACACATGATTTTTCACAAACGTACCCCCCCCCCCCCACATTTTTCTCACCGGATTTGGACAAATTAGAAAATTGACCTTGAAGAGAACTGGGGGGGACGTGTCCTCCTCGTGGCAGTAGTGATGAGTAGAGTTAAGTTTCTCATGTCTTCGCTCTCAGTTGACTGAATTGGTTAAATCATGCAGAGGTAGTACTAATATGTTCTTCCACGTGGGCAATGGGCTAAACTGATCTGATGTTGAACAAAACTTACTGCTGAATTAATCTTTGTTAGACCTTGCAGAAGTGTTGTTTAAAGTGATCTGATGTTGCACAGAATTCGTTTATTTATTTATTTATTTCAAAACCTACCATGTGACTTTTCTCATCACTTTGACATACATCCAGACTTTCCGAAGATGATGAAGTCGCTGAACCACCGTGTCCTCTCGAATGAAGTTCGGAAACACCTCGTAAAAGTGGCGACAGATCTTTAGACTGACTAGAGCGATTGCGCCAAGTTCGTTTGTGTTGTGTCTTGATTCTTTGGATCTGAGGAGAGCTGAACGGAGTGTTGAGATTATCCATTGAAACTGAATTGCTTAACGAGTGATGATGATGTTCCCTTTTACATGACTCCAGCCTATCTAAATTTTCTGATGACTTTGAAAATTTATGTTTCATTAATGATCCATGTTTTGGAGAGTCTAAGTTAGATTCTGGGTGTTTTGATGGTGAGTTTGTAACTGATCTTGAAATGTTACTGTGATAGAATTCATCCATATTCGGCACATATTGTGTTGTATCTAAAGACCATCTTCCAGATTTTCTTGAATAGCTATGTTTTTCTGTTGATTCATATTTACCCTCTAGGCCTTTGTTGGATGACAATGGTTGAACGGATTTGTGGACAGGACTAAACGGAGGAAAGTTCGGTTGTTTTATGGTATCCCGGGGGGAGCGGGGTTCTGATATTCGTCTGTAAGCTCGGAGCGCGTACACTAGTAGGATGATTAGGATCACACATATTGAAAGTAGGACACTCGTGGCTATTGTAGCCGCTGAAATGAAGGATGGTTAGGAATGTAAATGGATAATAGTTACGAGTTAGACTAAGCAGTATCGTGCAGCAGATGATGGTCAACCTGCAGTTATCAGAGGGAGAAAATAATGTCAATTCTTTTCATTATATGGAGTAGTCTTGGAGGTCCTATGTCCTTATATGGGCATGCGCCTCGCGATATAGCATCTTTCGCCGCAAGTGTGGTAATTCCCACCCTCCCACCCTTCGAGACATTAGTTAGGGTTAGGTCTAGTTGAAAGGCACCGATACATTTGCGGTGGCAGACCACACGACAAACCAATGTGAAAAAGCCTGCTGCCGCGTAACGCTTTTTGAACATCTAGTGGCGAGGCCACTCATGACAATTGAGAATGGTATGCTAATAGCCTGAAATTGGAAGAAAATGAATATCTAATGACCAGTTGCTATGCTTGCCTGCGTGATCGCTCTCCGAGAAATCGAGCTACAGTCTATGGCCACGTCCACATTAATCCGTTTTCGTAGCGTTTTCGTATTGGTTCAAGTAATTCCACCATTGTTCTCAATTCTCTTGTCATGTGAACGGAGAACAAGACGAAAACTCTACGAAAACGAGTTAGTATGGACGTGGCCTATGACGTATGCTATTGCTACGCCTTACTGAATGTTCCGCCATATTTAAACGACATGTGTATTGAAATTTTCATAACACATCGGAAATTATTTATGGAGAATATACACTAAATTCAATACAATGGTAACTCTAAAAACGGTAAACATTTTGAAAAGCGTTTATTCAAAATGTTTACCGTTTTCGGAGTAACTATTGTATTGTATTTAATTAAAATACTCAATGTTTCCACAATTTATACACGCTAATGACGTATTGCTCATATCAAGCCTTGCGGCAATGCCGTGAACACGTATCATCTTGGTTTGTTATCGTGTGTAATGGTCACATCTTAAGCTCATAAATCTACTTTTATGTTGTGTCTTACATTCCTACCATGACTATTGACTAATCTAGTAAACCTGGCGGACTTTGAGTCTAGAGGGGAAACCATTTTACCTTTCGAGTAGTTTCGAGTACTGCAGTATATATAGCATAAATTTAAAGACAAAGAAAAATTTTGTATACAGTTATAATATTAGAGATCATTTGTATTGAAACAGTTGCACTGTTTAGGTATTTCAATGTTTTCAATATATTTAACAGTAAACTGTTCTGCTAATTATAGCTTGAGGAATTACATTTTATAAACATTCAGAGTATGTGTATCGAACTGATATCTTTGATACAACAGTCTAATTATGTTTTTGTATGGTAGAATGAGCATAACCAAATTAATTGTAGGCTAGCGGGTAAGGGAACGAATAGTATTGCGTACAAAATTGTGTATTCGAATCTCAGTTATTCCCAACTGGTCTCACATACCTTTATTTTCGTCACTTACACGTCAACGCGTTCACATTTTAGATATTTCAATTGTTTGACAGTTTGCTTCGGTGTAAAAGGGCAAGATACAGAGCTAAATTCCTGACTTCAATGATACATAATCCTTTATCCCACTGTTTTACTCCTATCTATTTTACCGCCATATCTCATCAACTTTGTCAATTGATTATGGTTCACCATACGATACGAAAAATCTTTATATGTTACATTTTATAAAAGTGTACCTTGGCAGTTTACGGCTCAGTATAATAGTACAAAGCACAGTGCTAAATTCCTGACTTCAATGATACATTCTCCGTTATGCATGCCTACTGTTTTACACCCATCTATTTTACTCATATCTTATCAACTTTGATTATGGTTCACCATACCTGATACGAAAAAGCCTTCATATATGTCAGATCTGACAATAGTATATCTAGGCAGTTTACTTCAGTATAAAAGTGCGCAGTGCTAAATTCCTAACTGTAACTATAACCGTCTATTATACTATCTTCTTCATTCGATCCTTATAATTAGAACCATTTTCTTTTACCTTGGTTCTGATCCACCATAACACAAAGCTCGGCGTCTACATGTCAGATATTTGAAGAGTATATTTGATCAGTTCGTTGACAGAAATAAGGACACACTTCTGACTGCATATGAGTATATCCTGGTTTGTTCACGTTTTTTCATGTTATAACGTCATTATTTACATAATCGGGAGATTAGTCATTGAGTTTTACACAAAAAGCGCGACATGGTCACTGAGTATATTGTGCATTAGACAAAGAAAGCAAATTTTAACCGACGATTTATGTAAATTTGTGTTGTTAAAATTATGACTATATTGAAAAGCTTTCGATAAGCCAGGACCGATTTTCATCACTCCAAGATTGGGGGATACGAATTCGAAAGTCTGCCAAATAAGTGAATGTGGTGTTTCCATAAAACAAAACAATTCTATTTATCGCCATGTCAACATACAAGGAACTAACCAATTATAGAAATTTTACAAATCTGATGCTCATTGTTCTTGGTACATTCTCACGAGATAACGGATATATAGAGCATAAATGGAGCACAAAGTAATGATTATCCAATGCTTTGAGAAAAGGTTTTTAGACTAAACTATATTGGTTGACATTTTCTCATGGTTAAACTAAATATAATACTAATTATGTTGACTAAGGTATTTAGTTCCTGGTAATTTTATTTAATCTATATAAAGGTATTTAGGGTATTTAGTTCCTGCAGTAATTTATTTATCTTTGAACAGATCTGAAAACCAGGAAATTGAGTTGAATTGATGATATTATGCGAGATATTTACGCACCTTGTTAGAATGAGATGAAACTCATTCTGGATACCTTGCCGTTTATTCACTTTTCACCCAATGGCCTCGTTTTCGTGTCCAGGGCCGCAGGAAAGTCGATAATTGGGGCGGCCGATATTCATATATTCATGTTCATATATTCATATTCATGTAAAAACAATCGCTTTCAAAGGAAATAAATGGTGCAGAACATGAGTATATGAACATCTGCCCCATTATCGACTTTCCGGCGCCCCTGTTTGTGTCAAATACTTACTCATGTTTTGTGCTTAGTATGGTTGAAAATTACTTTGCTTTGAGCTAATTAGTCTAAGAACAGCAAGAAACAAATTCCAGGAAAACATGGGAATATAATCTTGCTAAGATAAGTTAACATGGAAACGAGGCCATTGGGTAAAAGAAAATAATCAGTAAGGTCTGTTTATTGTGGTGAAGTTCTACAGTGAAGTCATAACTAAATATCTGCAGATTGTATGATTTTTGTTAATTTGACTTCTGAAGTTTAAGGAGATTGTTTAAATGAATATATGATGAATAGATTTTCGTACTCAACAAATTCATCCAAGTATATTTGAGTTAAATTAATATCACAACACATGCATATAAATATATCACATCAAGGTACTGAGCACGCGCCATTTATCATAACAATATATTCCCCTCAGGTAGAAAAAGCCTGTATTGGATGCCATTCTTCAATAGTTAAATGAGGTTTCTCTATAATACTAGCCCAATGTCTTGCACCGTAGTCCAACATAAATGGATGTGGCCCAAACAATTCGAATTGATATCCCAAAAATACAACCCCAATTAGAACGTTTTTACTCAGGACATTGACTCTTCGTCCGTGGTGGAAAAGTCTTAAGATCACGCTAGTTTGAGGCATTTTGTCTCTTGTTACAACAAAGTCAAACGATTCTTCAAAATTTGGTGTTTTAGTGTCATGTTTCACTGTTGTTTTCTTCTTGTAAATTCTCTCGCCACAAAAGAATACACGTATCTTTATATAAGGATCTGCAAAATAAACATAATTATTGAATTATTCAAAGAGGACGTAGGAGTTGAAATATTCTCGTATAAGTAATGAAGAGATCAGAAGAAGATGTGAGGTGGTAGATGTCGCAGAGAAGATTAGGGAAGCAAGGTTGAGATGGTATGGACACGTAATAAGAATAGATGAAGGAGAGCTGGTCAGAGACATTATGGAATGAAGAGATCTGAAGATGATGTGGATTGGTAGATATTGCAGAGAAGGTGAGGGAAGCAAGGTTGAGATGGTATGGACACGTAATAAGAAGAGATGAAGGAGAGCTGGTCAGAGACATTATGGAATGAAGAGATTAGAAGAAGATGTGAGGTAGTAGACATGTGAGGGAAGCAAAGTTGAGATGGTATGGACACGTAATAACCGGTCAGAGACATTATGGAATGAAGAGATCAGAGGGATTGGAGGACGGTTAAGAACGAAAAAGACTGAGCTGGATAGATTGTGTAAAAACCAGGGGCCCAAAAGAGTGGGGGCGGGTCCCGGGTCGCTCAGCTAAGACAACATCTTCATTCTTTCATTTGATGCACTTACCAACTTTCCCGGACTTTGTAACTCCAGGAAGTCCTTTTGCGCTCTTGATAGTGATCGTTAGCTTTCCTTCAGAAGGATTGTGACACAAGGAAACCAACATTTCTCCCAATGGAGGTCGTTCACTTAGCTCCGAATCCGTCTAAATTTGAGAAAATCTAAAATTACATCGCAATACCGAGATAAAAAGATTGGGTGACTTCCCGCCTGCATATTTCAGCGGTTTTTAAGATAACATGCGTTGAGAGCTAAAGGAGGCAAACGGTCGCATACAATTATCATATTGTGTTCGCTTTTATATTTGAGAAATCATTTCAACATGCAAATTTCTTTTGTAAAATGTTTAGTGCGAGGACAAAGTGATAACTTAAAATATAAATATCGACTGCAGCTGTAACTTTTCATGTTCATTTCCCTTTGTTTATTGACTTTATGGATAGTAATTCATCCGGTACACATTGTAATTTACACTGAACAGACTTGACAGTGTGCACATATTTTTCATTTCCTTTCGATATCATTTTCTGTAACTTATAAATATTTAATTTAGCTTTATCAAATTTCGCTTCCAAAACTGAGGCCAATCAATATCAATAATAATCGGGAAGCCGTAATAATTGAAAAACAAATGTTACCACAATCGTCATCAGCCAGGCTCTTGAAGAACAACACTTTGAAAGCATGAAAGCTTACAGATTATGCTAATATACATGGTGTTTTAGGGCTTTGTTTTTGCAGAGAAAAAACACTTAAATTAAGTAATTTAATTCAGCTGCAGTGTTTTATTAATTACTCTCATATGAAAGAGAATATTATGTCTTATATCCATGATTTATTTGCATATATACGAGTTTGGTTCGTGAAAATGTTTTATATCTGTGCATCAACTAATATACATATTGATTTGTTTTCATAGAAAGTTCAATTTTATAAGCTTAGCAACATCGAATTGTCAAGTGAGGTTAATTTTCTGTCAAATTTTTTGTTTCATCCATAATAGTAAAAATGTCATTATATTTAAGCATGTAGAGTGCATGCATGTGACTCAAATATATTAGACGTATATTTTATGCATAAAGCCGGGATTGTTTTTTCACTCAAAATACAATATTTTTTATCCTTATTCATTTATCATTCATGCCTCAAATTCTGGTAATTGCTTTGCACATTGTATGAGAAATTGTTTACAGTATAGCCCAGGACAGTATTAATTTCTCTGAAACGTGCAATCATTCTATTCCGGAAAAGGTTTATACAACAACTGTACGCGAGCGAGTGCCTAAAAACATGCATCTACTCAAGATTGAATTAAATTTATTTCAAGGAAAAGATAGATAACTCTTAAGTGTTTTTTGGGAGGACACGCTCCAGCAGCTGTTTTTTAAAAGTGTTTTGAAGATATTGATAGGCTGCTTTATTTAAATATAAAACAAACTATCCTTGACTGTCTCTTCCTCACTCGCCGACAATTAAAATGCATCCGACCAATTATACAGCCTTAGACAATATATATAGTAGTATAACGCTTTATATATATATATGACAACTTGCCACAAAGCATATACAGTTACTTATGCAGTAGTATATCGCTTTATATATGACAACTTTGCCACAACGCATATACAGTTATTTAGGTAGCTTATACTTTGCAGCTTAGCACATAATTCGACTTTGAATTAAATATATTTGTTTGCAGTGAAAACGATGCTGTTGTATAAGAAGATATATAGAAACGTTGTCTTCAAATATAGTGCGTAAAATATTATTGAAGGTCCCTTATATAAGAACTATTGTAGATATATAGATGGATGAAACTTTAAAATATCATTATCCCTTCACTGCCGCCTGTATGATCTATTTAATGCTGTAATGAACAGTGTTTCCGTTTTTTTAAAGTAAATTTTGGATATGTTTACGAATGTTAAATGTCACCGAGTTTTAATTAAAAATGTTGAAAGTGACGCGAAACAGCCGCGAAAGAACTTAATTTTTAAAACGATTTTTACCGATTAAGACAACTTTATTGAAAAGGCTTTATATACTTTTAAAGCTTATTTACACAACACAACTTTTGCCTAAAACTGTCGCCTGCAACCTGCTTACAACTTGAGTTGTACTGTGTAAATCAAGCATACAACTCGTCTAGGACATTGTTGGCGTATTGTGCAGGGCTTCATTTACACAGTGTAACTCAAGTTGGAAGTAAATTACATGCATCAGTGGAAAGGTTGTGTTGTGTAAATCATCATTTACGTAATATACATACCAATTTCTCTGAAACCATAGGACTGAGGCTCAGGCATCTACTTGTAATTTTATTCGGTTGTAGATCTGTTAAAGAGACGTGAAGTTGCCCAATGGCTTTATTCTCTGCATTGTTCATCACGAGGAACTGCAGGCTGCATTCGCGTATTTTTGAATGAGTGAAGCCTGATACTAGAAAGGTCTCATTGAAAAGCGGATCAATGGAGTTGAAGACAAACTTCGTTTCTCGCCGCCAATTCATTTCATCCGGTTTTAATATAGCAATGACGTAACTTTCCAAGTTCTCGTCCCCAGGTAAACGGAGTGCTTGGATGACATTCACGTGCAACTGACGATTCTTTTCGTCGTAATAATACGAGAATTCCAATTTCCCGACAACTTCCGAACTCGATGAAGTCGTCACGCTCCGCTTTGTCCTCGTTTTCGGCGGCGAAGGTGGTTCACTAAAGCCTCGCTTTCGTCGCAAAGGTGAAGTTGGGCTGCTAGGGCAGCTGTAGCCTTTGTTACGATGTTTGATCTTGATGGTCTGAGATCCAATCGGCGGGGTGTTCAAGTACTCTAGGGAAATTGCACTCGGGAATTGGCCCCCTTCAGAAAGAGAAAAACAGAATTTATTTCTTATCATTCAATTGTTGATTCCCCTTATTACTTTTTCGTAGCGCTTTGCATTGTGGTTATAGTGGTATCACTGATAAAGATAGCGGCCTCGAATGAAAATATTGAATGTTTTCGCGAATATTTTGCTGTTGGCTATCGCGCACCTGACTCTAGGCTTTTTTAAAAGTTCTTGCACGGATCAAGACAAAAAATAAGCCATGCATCTTGAATATCAGTCATACCACTATAACCACAATGCAAAGCGCTACGAAAACGTAATAAGGGGAATCTAGTATTGGTGGCTTTCGTAAACGTTAAGGCAGGTTTACACTGTCAAAATTTCTGTGATCGCAGTAGGAATTTTGCAAAGATAAATTCTAAGTTTTGAAGGATTTGGAATAAAGGTTTGAGGAACTGACTTGGTGTTTAACACAGAGTTCCCTCCATAGATATCTTATATACACTAGATAGCGCATTTCTTTTTGTCCAGCGGTTACCCCCATTTGAATAGATGGCGGCCATATGGAGTTTCCCACTCGCTAATAAACGCTTAAAAAAAACAACAATAACTTTCATCATTTGAATAGTTTGAAAATTATTTGGAATAGGTTTAACTTAATGTTTAAGTTCCCTGTTTAAGAAATAGAAAACATACGAATCTTCACATTTCATGGGAATATCCTGAGTCTGCTGCAATCACGGCTTCAATTTTTGAATTGCAGAATAATTAGATGCACTATCTAGTGTATATAAGATATCTCAGTATGGTTTCCTCAAACATTTCTTACAAATCCTTCAAATCTTAGAATTTACCTATGCAAAATTCCTACTGTAATCACAGAAACTTTGATAGTATAAACCAGACTTGATCAATATCTCAACATACCGTCATGTCGATGACCGAAAAATTTCGACATATCAGGCCCATAGTTACGACTGTCTAACTGTTCAGCGGTAATAGGCTGCGGACTAGAGACTGTAGTTTGTATTCTATGGGGAATGGTTTCTGGCATGAACTGGGGAATGTCATCTTGTATGATTATTCCCGGGGGGAGATGCCTCTTTTTGTAAGGTGCGTGATTCTTGCGCCGTACAGCTCGAATAAGGTATAACAGTAGGATGAGTAAGACTGCACATATTGAACCAAGAACGCCCGAAACAATTAGAACTACAAGAATGAAAATATGGAACGATTAGAAACAATTAGAACTACAAGAATGAAAATACGAAACAATTAGAAATAAAAATTAGTAAGAATATTAATTAAAATGCCACAAAATATCGAAGCACTTAATTAGTATGCTATATAACAAACTTAACCTAACTTTATTTAAAACCAGTTTCATATTATCACAGACTGATAGAGACTATACACTATACTTCTTGGTTTTTCCTATGATTTTGGCGTAACCGTAATTCGTCATCAAAATGCTGACGCCATGGTTCTACTATATTTAATATACTGGATTGCTCTATCAGTCCAAATAAAAAAGAAACGATAGCTTATATAACTCTATGATCACGCATATAGAATCATAAAACAACGAGACATGCAAATAGGTAAACAAAAATGCATGTATACATGGTTCAAGTACTTTTCATCCGGTTCAACAGGAATGTCTAAGAGCATGTTTGAATATTTTCCATACACTAGAATGAGACACGTAGTGCTAGCGGTGTATAAGCTAACATGTCCCCATCATATATAATGATTTCCCTTACATCATTACATCGAACTAGGTATGTCTATTTATACAACTGTGCTTCTCGGAAAGATCTATTCCAAGATTATTTTGACAATTTTGTTTCTGACATTACATGCCGATTCACACGAGTAGTGTTTGCCAGTGAAATATTTAAATTACGGCTCTTTTGCTTAGAGACGGAGGAATGGAATTTCCCGCGCCAATTGGCTTTATTAATGACTTTAAATGGAGAATGTAAACATTGCACATTATAGGCTCTCTCTGTACACGAGGAATATCGACTGAGTAAACCTCGCTCATCTCAGCTTGTAGATTCGAATGAAACAGTGTGCACTAATTCCTTAGTTCAGGACCAAAAAAGTTCCGCTCTTTATCTTTGCAAGAATGTATATAGTAATAACCGAATATGTATTTGGCAGTATAGGATCGATTCAGTGCTAACTTTTTGCATTTTAATTTTATCCCCCCATATCACAAGCTTGTTTACAGTTGTTTCTATTTTATATTTTCTATATAATATTATACAGAAGGCCTTTTATGCCTATTGATACGAATCAGTGAATGAAAAATCAGCATTCATAATTAATATGAGCCATCCTCTCCGCTTGTAGTTTTAATGTACATTTTCTCTTCAACTAGTTGAAGACACAGTCATATGTAGTCGAAATCTTGTCAAAAATGATGTGTAAGAACGTCAGACCCACAATGACAATGTACTTAAAATGATAATGCACTTAAAATGACACTGACTTTCTCCAAAAGCCACTAGAGTGGAACTAAACGCGCCAATTAATGATTTTAATCATTTAGATCATTCTATATCTAAATATATACATATATACAGTCAACATCAGATTAGCAATTTTCTAGACTTCAAAAATCAGATTGGACATTGGTGATTATTGGCACGAAATTCTACCGCGATCAGGAAACAAGGTGTACCTATAAAAGTCGTATTCATAATTTTCTACTACTTTCATCATAGTTGAAGATGATGCGTTGAGATAAGGCGTTAATTAAGATGAAATACTCATAGGTTTCATGATAACATCGTACTATACCAAGGGTATCAATACGAATCTCGTCGCCAATATAGACATTATAGTGTTATTCATAATCCTTTAGAGGGGATGTGAATGCAAATTAAGACACAACGTCACACTGTCTATATAATATATAACCCATTACTCATATAACCTTAATCCCATACCTTTACTTTTATCAACCATTCCAGACAATATCCTTCACATGTTAGTGATATTATATATTAACTCAGTCCATTTTCCGTTAATAGAAATGTTCAATAACCCAATAATGACCTCTTATAAATGCATATCCTGGCTAATTCGCGTTATTTCATGTTTGCCGGTGGTTATTATGATATAGGCCTACGTCACGAGGGGGCGTGTAGTATGGAGGGTTATAGTCTTTGTTAGGAGTGTTATCAACAAATAATGAAGGCAAACACTCTGGGCTGGACCAATAAGACAGCTTTCTATAGCGGAGGTTGGGATTAGGGGAAATAGGGGAAACCACGCATGCTTTACATTGGGCTAGGTTGGTTGTGTTAACCGCTAAAACTTGATGAAAGAAAACTTAGAAACATCTTCTCAATCAAAATCAGCTTCTCTTTCAGTTCAGTACATGAATCGATTATTTAATTCATGAAATAATGTCTTTGAAATAGATTTACTCTCTCAAAGATGTGAGCCATGAGTATATTTTACAACTACCAGCATGCTGATTGTGGATTTTCGAAGTACATTTTAAGGTACATTAATTGGTACGTAGGTGTTCCCAAACAGGCATCACATGTTGTTCCCGGGTATAATTTTTCATATCTTTAAAGATGATTCTGTAAAGGAATTGAAACACTGCACGTCTTACAAAACGAACGTTAGTAAGACTTGACAAAAATATTCCTGCTTGCCCGATAAAATTCGCTTCTCTTGTATTTTGAATCTTCGAACAGGAAAGTGATAACTTTGTTGAAGAAATCTGGTCGCTGTTCCTACTTTTACCCAATTTTACCATTTGATGAAATGTTATATGAGTATGAAGAGATTAAGTGGATGTATATAGCATTTGTAAATTCTGAACGCTGATTGGCTAAGAGCCTTTTTTGATATAACTCAATGTCAACACGGAAACGTTGGAAAATTTATTTCTTTATGTTTCTTTGTGCTATATTATAAAACAAATATAAAACATTTTTTCCGTATTGATACACAGTTATATCAACACTGAACACTCGTAGTGGTTTTTGATCGCTCGTGAGGAATATTGAACAGATCAGTAAAACGTGATTGAGTGAATCTGTTATTTTAAACTATAAAGTCTGGCGTAGCAGTTAACTAGACCTTGTCGGAATTACGATTTTGTAGCAAATTACCCCACGCGGCTGTACTGAATCCAGACCAATAATGCCAATTATTCCACCACTGCGAAACTGTATCAGTAATTAATCTACATTATACTCCTACTATAACGGGAAAACACTTATATTGTACACATAACGACTGCTGATTATAGAATACTGTAAGACATTTTCAGTTTCGACTACACTTCGTGTTCTCTCTTACTGTCAAACACAGGAAGTTGATATTACTAATCATTTTAATGACGGTACGCTTCACCTAGCATGTTTTTCCTCTCGGCACTATGACTAACTGTTAACATATTAACATAGTCTAGAAGGGTGGCATTCTCGTGTATGTGATATAATAGTGCTTGATATATGACGTCATCGTATTTCAACTCATGACGTCATAACTATATGCACCGCTGACCAACATGCTCGTTTATACGTAAGTGTTATCAAAATGGCGTCCTTATACAAATGCAGTCTTATCAGAGTTCCCTATCGGTGGATCTCGCGGTAACTGAGTGGGGTAAACACAACAGAGCAACAATATACCATGACCCTATTAGGACAAGAGTATTGGTACGAGGCAATGTCACAGTTTAACCATTGTGTTTCCCCCACTTGGTAAGATGGCGTCGTGAAACTCGCAAAGCAAAGGCATACACACAACATAAGCAATCCATAATCGTAAAGACATACGCCTGTATTCTAAAAGCTCACTCAAAGAGTGGAGGTTCAATCTGAGCTTCTCTTGAGAGTCAATGCTGTTTTTGAATAGCTGGAGGGTGAGTACTGAGTAAGTAATGTGCGACACTAACCTTCAGCTATTCCAAAACAGCACTGACACTCAAGGAAACTTAGATTGAACTCCAGTTTGAGTGTGAGCGTGAGCGTGTAGAATACAGCCGATAGTCATGTTACCGTAAAAATAAGAGCCTGTACTGATCAGTTCAATTGCAATATTATTGCTCACTGTATAAACATTTGGCAACACATTATTTAATTCATTCATTCATTTATAATTACTCGATAAAACTCACTCACTTGGTTCCATAATGTCGTAGTATTCTTGTCATATCTCGCTAACTCTTGCCTCTAACATTTAATACATCCTGGATTTGCATAAACAATCATCAATACACATTTAGAACAAACGTAACATATCACACAGCAGGTAACACCAGAGTTGCCTAACACCGCTCAAAGTCAAAAATCAAACACCACGTATTGTATGTCCATATATTTTTCGATTCAATGAGAATTTATTCAGTGTGAATTCAAACGAGTTTAACCTTTCTTGCTTTGTTCTGTAACCTTTAATTGCATCCAAATGTGTGATTAAACGGCACGATGAAATCAAAATTTATATGGCATGCGAGGACATGCATTGTTTGGGACAAAAAATTTGCAATGGAAATTCTGGATTAATACAGAAATAATATGTTGCTGTAAGAAATTTCCCGGCCGTGATCATGTCATTGCCAAAAAAGTAAAATTATTCACGTCAATTGAAATGTGTAGTCCAGAAAATGAAAGACGTATGCAAAATGTGAAGTAAGTTTATTTGGTTTTTTGTTCCTTTCGACTGTTTGTAAAGTAATCCCTGCACCAAGTTAAAATAAACACGGTCATGTTTAAGTGCCGTGGTTAATGGTCCTTCAACTATTTCACAAAGAGCTACTATAAAGGCCATTAACTTTATGGCAGAGTTTGGGCACGCTTAGTACGCTTGCAAATCTTTAGGTTTGAGAAGGGTTCTGAAATAGTTATATATAGAGTTTCATGATAGTACAAAAACCACAAAGTGAACCATTTTATGCTTGAATCCAGAACATCTGTAGTATCTGTAGAATGTATATACTGGCATTCCATCACAACACAATCAACCGCACATATATTCTGAAAAAATTCTGATCAAATCTCTCAGTATTTCAGAGTGATCGATGCCCTCGTTGTTGCTTTCGGTAACTCAAACTCATGTTGAAATTATTTGAATATATATCACAGTTAGAAATATTTTAATGTATAGCGGTACGCCACTCAGGCAGATTCCAGGGCCAAAAATGTTTATTCTCTTTGACATCATGCAGCCTCGCTCAAATAAAATTCAACTCAAATGCTGGAAATTTCCACGAATTTGTAAATTCTTTCAGGCTAAAAGAGGCGTTTATGAGTAACACCTTAATAGCGTAATTTACCTACTTATCCTTTTAGAAGAAGTACCTCCCAAAAATACCTACCTTGCATGGGTTTATCCAAAACAATCGTGAAGATATGAGAAAAATCCCAGGGTTTTGCTATAATCCAATAACTATTAACGACGATAACAACACGTACCTATTTTGTACCTATTTTGCGTTTATTCACAAACACACTTGTTTTTAAACAAAGACAAACATGGGTCGTTTCAGCACATTTGACCTTTGACTTGTCCTCTATGTCAGTCTGCATAAATTAAATGATATTTTGAACACTGTATTTTTGGAATATAATATGTAGAAAAGGTTTAGCTTTACTATAGTTGGACTGTTTATTGTATCTTGAGTATAATATTCTTCCTTTATAAGTATAAAAGTCATCTAACTGTTATTGATCACAATATTTGAAGTTTTTTATACGGCCACAATGACAACATCCTGTTTATATCTCATGCAGATAGTTCTCTCATGAATATTCTGCAAATATTTCACTGTCTAGTCCAACATTTTGTGCATGTTTCATTGACACTGTCAGTTCGGTCCAATCAAGAAATTCTGTCTTCTAATAAAAAAGATCTGGATCTAGTTTTTCGAAAATCTGGCCAAAGTGGACATTCTCTTGAGTGATCCAAATCAGTTCCGGTCAGATCAATGCGATCGATCTGATTGTGTATATGGAAATCACAAATAATAATGTGATTGTGCAAATAAATATCCAGCACGCCTTTAAAAGGTTTATTCTCAGTGTACCTAACAGTCACTCCATATATATAGAAATATTTATATCATAAAAGTATTCCCACAAAATAATGGTTATATTCATTGTATCATCATCATCATCGTCATTATTATATCCTTATCTATTAACAATTTATAATTGAATATTATTGCTTACGCCTTTGTTAATCATTATCCTTATTCTAAACCGTTTGTTTCAAAATAATTGGATATATTTTATGCCATTACTCAAATTATCCTTCATTCCTTAGCCTGTTTCTACTTCATTCGTACCGACACTTCGACGTACCGACACTTGAGTTATATACCGTAAACCTCCGACTATAAGCCCCCCCCGAATATAAGCCCCCCGAATATAAGCACCCCGAATATAAGTCCCCTGAATATAAGCCCAGTAGCCCACTACGTTATTGAACATTGACATTGTCTTTTAATATAGCAGAGAACGATATTTAAAAACATTGTCATTGTCTTTAGCTTATACTATGTTAATCAAAGCACGTTATTAAAACATCTTTAGTTTCCTGTTTATGACAGACTTGTTTATGTCTAACTTGTTTACAGGGACGTCGGAACTGGGGGGTGCAGGAGGGGCAGCCGCCCCCGTTGCCCTTTATCAGGAGGGGCAAGGGGGGGCCAAGGTGCCCTTTCAATTTAAATGATTGCCTTGGCGAAATAGCGAATTGTCAGAAATGTTAGTGCAATTCTTTTACGAATCAGTTGCTTCAGAAAACGCAAGAAATGCAGTCATCGAGCTTCAAGAATAGCACAATCGCCTGGCAGAGAACCCCCTCACACCCCGATCATCCGATAAATAGAAAACATGATTAGGCAAAGTTCAACTCCCAATGATTTGCAAACATCTCTTAGTATATATCAATTCAAAAGTGCCCTTTCGCGAAAATCTGCCCCCGTTGCCTTCACATCGTTCCGGCGTCCCTGCTTGTTTATTACTAACGCAAAAATCGTCCATGTATTAGCCCTCCCCCGTATATAAGCCCCTCCTTGTATAAGCCTATCAAAAATCGCTTACGAATGTATATAAGCCCAGGGCTTATAGTCGGAGGTTTACGGTATCATGATTTTGAGCATTTGTAGAAGGAAATTTCGAGTACACATATTAAACATTTATTTGACCTAAGGAGCAGTTGCTAAAAATGCAACTATAGACCCTCAACTATATAGGGCCGCAGTTTCGATTCCTGCCAGAGGGGCTATATATAGTTACATATATTTTTGCAACTGGTTAGTGGTTAGTGGTTAGTGGTTAGGTCTAATCATAGCTCATCGAAGGGAAAATGAAACTCATTAGAATAACAATACAACTCATTCAAACACTCATTAATAATTTATAACCTTTTTGGCAAATCATGTCAACCATAATATCAATATGTCACGTGCAGTAGCTTTAAACCTAATAAAACACTCCTGCTCGTTTATTAAACAGTACTTTATCTATGTTAGTCAACGTTTATTCACAAACCTGATCCTTCACCGTCACATGCGTATTGTAGGAAAGTTACCTATCCGTGACTGAAGGACCAGATTTATGAATAAATTTTGCCTAACATAGATAATGAATTATATTGTTATTAACAAGTTTCATGGCCATCTTCCCTTCGATAAACTCTAATAAATGTATAAAATCCACACTCAAAATCTCCATCCGCAAAACCTTTCATCATGCCTTGAGTTGTCTACTTCATTTCAATACTGGATATATCTTATGCCATTGTTCAATCGAGAGGTTGGGTTTGTCCAACATCATAGCCCAGTGTTGGTTACCAGTCTCTGCAGGGTCAACATTAAACCCGACCAAGACTACGCCAATCAGATGATCTCTTAGTTTTCCTCGGTGAATAACTTTCATGGTAATACTTGTTGTTTCCATTTGGTCACGTGTCAACTCGAAATCGAATCCTTCGTCGAATTCCGGATTCCATTCATGATGCTGTACTTTGGTTTTTCTTTTAAATATTCTAGTCAGGTCTTGCATTACGTTGATTTTAACAAATGCATCTAAAAAATCAGACGTATTAGACAACTGTTGTAAGTGTTGTTATCCAATATATCAGTACTGGATAGCTCTATCAGTTCTAAACTATTCTCCCTAGAGGTCAAGTAAGGGAATCGCTTGTTGATCCAGTGTTACTACGGGAGAAAACCTAAGCTAAACTAACTTTATTCATACTGGATAGCTCTATCAGTTCTTAACAGTTCATTCTAGACGTCCAGTAACGGTCATTCGTTATTGATCCACTAAAGATGTTACCTGTTAAACTAGTAATTAAGCTAATTAATTAGCTAATTAATATTAATTAAGATAAATGTTCTAACCTGTGTGTCCAACTCTGGTCATTTTAGGCAATCCTCGTGCTCTGATGATTTTGATATTCAATTTCCAGTCAATGGGATCATAATCCATGGAGACCAGTAAATCACCCACATAAGAACGATCTCTGTCCTGGAAATGTAGTAAGTTTTACCTTAATATTGTATCTTTTCCCGAGCTGCGCGCGCCAGTGCGATTTTAGCAGGGTACGATAATTCGCATGACTTACTACCTACTACGTGCTGGACGTACGCCGATATTATAGTCCGGTACTTCTTTGTTTGCAGTCAAGTACTCCCTGTGTACTTACATTTTGCTTTACCATATGACTAGGAAACTTACTAAGGTTTTAATCAAAACCGTAACTACCAATGTGCTTGTATGTGCAAACATCAATTGTGGTATAGGTCTTGTTCTGATTCATTGAGTTTCAGGTTGCTAATACCCTTTTAGAATACTGACAGTGTGATTTATGCACTGTAATTTAAAGACTAAGTACACCTCGAGTCTTACGGTTGTATCAGCTGAAGTACGCAAAAATCATTGTAGTACCAGTGAGTGGGGTACAGCTACTGAAAATCTTGAACCACTGCACCCTAGTTAATAATTCCTCTCAGCTATTTACATCGGGGTAATGTATTTGCATCTTGTTCTACACAAAAAGTGTGATGAACAGCTAAGTATATGACTTGACCGCGTAGCTCAGTTGGCAGAGCATTGGGCTAGTATTACAAAGGTCGTGGGTTCGATTCCCACCGTCGCCAGGCATATTTTTCAAGCCTGACCGGTGTGGATATACACTCAGAGTAACATCACAAGCATCTTATATATTCACCTGAGTACATTACACCAACACGGAAAATATCATGAGCTAAGTATATATTTGGATACGCCCACAATAATCCAAACATAAGTACAATGCCATCATCACCTCAGGGAAGTATGGAGTAAACTATGAATATTTATACAACGGACAATTTTGTTATTTTTAAACTGATTCAAAGTTCCAACGGTTACTGATATAGCTGTCTACCTACGCCCAAACGTAGGACGAAACTACGAAATACACCTACTTACTTTTCTCACGGGTTTGAAAGTATTTGCTTATAATTAAAACTAAAAGGGACGTGCTCAATAATTCGTATCCTCCAGTTTGTATGAAACTTTTGAAATGGTTGTTGTTGAGCCACTACGGGGATTCACTTGCTTCAAGCGCATAGTTACCATTAGCCTGAAAGCAGTTTCATAATTTTACCGAATAACACGATGCACAATTTGAAAACGTTTCAGTTCCATGATCAACGGTAAATCTTGTAATAAGAAAGCTTTGGATGGATAGGGATGCAACTACCTGAAAAACACTAATTCGACGTTTCGAGCGAAGGCTCTTTGTTGGGAAGTTAGTAACGAAGGGTCTTTGACTCTTCGCTTGAAACGCCGAAGTTCTCCTTGTATTTTTCAGGTAGTTGTATCCCTATCAATCCGGAGCTTTCTCAATCTTGCCACTACCTACACTGGCAATCTTGTAATAAATAAGTTTAGAGTATAGTCAGTTAATGCATAGGATAGATTCGACGTAAAATATACAGATAAGGCTTTTAATTGTGATCCCAATGAAATTTATAAGGTTGCATAGGCAAGAGTATAGGAGTGATTCCGGAAGAGGGCAATTTAGAGGTTGAGTATGTGTATGTTACGAAAGTAATGCTTAAATCTGACATGTTTACTGATTCGGAGTGAACATTTAAAAACAAAATTCAAATTTCTAACGGTCGTTCAGCTCACTGAACGATATAATGACGGGCGTCCAGCTGTGTAACCACGCATTACATGCTGACTTTCAGCATGCGTTATTTACGAAGCTCTGTGAGACAGAACGGTTATTACACTCTAGGACTTTCCTTCTGTTGTAAATATGGGGGCGGGATGTTTGAGCTTGTCATACATAACCTAACGAAATGATTTATCGGTATAACTTAATAACGCCCGCGCGCGACCGTTAAGTAATGATTTAATTTTATTTGTTTAAAACTGTCGTTACGACTTTGAGACATACGTTGAAATAATCAGAAATTAAGATTCTCCTGAAATTATGTGTGAAAATGTTGCTTATTCTTGTTGCTAAAGGTTGGTTTACACTATCAAAGTTTCTGTGATCACAGTAGAAATTTTGCATGGGTAAATTCTAAGTTTTGAAGGATTTGTAAGAACGTTTTGAGGGAACTGACTTAGTGTTTAACACTTAAGCTGGGTGTGGTTAGCGCGGTGCTTCTTTTCTCCGAGTTAAACCTGCGACTGTAGGTCGAAAGCAAAGTATTTACTTAAGTTGGATGACTGTCCTGTACTGACTTAATGTGTTAACGTATGTGTAAGTTAGAGTTAACTTATTCGGGCACTCCTCTCTCTATCACACAAAAAAAACCTTTGGGCCTTAATTGTTGGACACGTGTATGATGAGCTTCTATTTACTTGGGTTGGGTGATTGTCCTGTAATGTCTTCATGCGGTTTGAAAGAGTTCTGACTGGTACTCTACTGAGCTTCACTGGATACTCTAGTTTTTCTCTCACCAAAAACAAACCTGTATATGCTTTCGTTGTTGAACACTTGAGCGATGGCTAGGGTAAATTGCCCACAACACTCAATCAACAATAAATAAATAACTTCCATTGCAACAAATCTCACCTTCACTACTCCAATAGGTTGTTGTAACTGGCACGAGCGACTTGTCAAAACGTCAGGCTGTAGTTCTCTCAAAGAATATGTCACCTCTCCAATCGTCTGATCAACATTAAAGTCATTCAATCGAAACAGTAGCGCGCAGTCATGCAATTTTGATAAAGAAAAACCACTGATTGTGAACATTTCTCCAAAAATCGGATTCTCTGTTCCCTGGATTATCTTAGTTTGTGCTTCCCAAATGAACTTATCAGGCTTAAGTTGAATGCTAAGACATAATTTTGCATCTTGCTTGCGTTCTATTGGAATCTGCACGTTTCGAACTCGCATGACATTTAAGACGAGCGCACGTTGGCTGATCTGATACTGCAGCGAGAATTCCAAGGTTGCGCCAGTTAGCTTGATTTGGTGTTTTGATTGCCGGAACAGACGCATCAAACGCGGACTATCTTCAGGGGACTGGCGACTAGAGTCACGTGATCCTTCAAGACTTGAGACTGCAGATCGTGTAGACGGTGGTACATTAATTGCTAGAAGTTCTATTGAGCTTGAACTAGGGTTACGAGATAACGGTTTCTTCGATGGGGTCGAGGCTAGTGGGGTTGTGTATCGCTCAGGTGGGGTAGCGCTCCTAGGGGTCACTATGCCAATACTTGATGCTCTACGCTTCAACTCCGAACCATATGTCGGCGTATCTCGATCTAGTAAAACACGTTAGACATACAGTTACATCATTTCTAAAAACCGAATACATCCGAAACTCTCCTTAAGATCCGTTATACGATTCCTATCTTGATGTATGTATGTAATGGAATAAACAGTTCTCTATTAGCCATTTCCCAAAGTCCTGGGTTTAGTCGCGCGAATCCCATGTTGGAGGGACAAGAAATATGGCAGCACACATTTAAATTAAAAGTTTAATGTAAAAAGAAGACATTTCATTTTTGGTCGTCTAAAAAGTTGATATTTGATAGTATATACTTCTACTCTTTCACATATTTGACGCCTGTCACCATATATTTTGGCCCTCCAAACGATGCCAGAATGCACTGTGATCTCTTTTGGGAAAAGGCTAATTACGGATACTTCTGTAATGCAGACATCTCTCTGATAGCAAAACTTACGTTCATAGGGATGCAACCACCTAGACAAGGAGAAATTCGACATTTCGAGCGAAGGCCCGTAGGGAAGTTAGTAGCCAATTTCTCTCCTCGTGTTTTTCAGGCATCCCTAACCTAAGTTTTGTTATTATTGGCCCTACCTACACTGGCACAAACCATTCAAGATCTCTCTGAGGACACAAAGTTGAACCTACCTACTAACGGTTGAAGCGAGATTTTACGATTGATTGGCAAGGAGACAGTGTATCCTCTTGGGTGGTGGTCTCTTGGGAGTAGGTCGTCATCCTGTCGTGAACTGAGTGTGGATTCTGAAGGGCTGGAGGGGGGAATGTCTGTAGGTTTCAGTGTTGGTGTCGGTGGCGTTATAATAGGCTGTACCAAACGGAGTTGTGTTCCTGGACAGACAGAGTTGTTAGATAAAATGCCAGGCAGAGTTGTTGGTGATGATGATGATGGTAATGATGGTTGTTGTTATGATGGTGATGATGATGGTAGTGATGATGACAATGATAGTGGTGATGATGGTGATGATGATGGTGTTGATGATGGTAATGATGTTGGTGATGATGATGGTGATGATGATGGTAGTGATGATGATGGTAGTGATGATGATGGTAGTGATGATGATGGTAGTGATGATGATGGTAGTGATGTTGGTGATGTTGGTGATGATGGTTGTGATGATGATGGTAGTGATGATGATGGTAGTGATGTTGGTGATGTTGGTGATGATGGTTGTGATGATGATGGTAGTGATGATGATGGTGATGACGATGATGATGGTGGTAGTTACGATGGTGGTGGTGACGATAAATGTGATGATGATGGTAGTGATGATGGTGATAATGATGGTAATTGTGATAATGATAGTAGTTGTTATTATGGTGGTGGTGATAATGATGGTATTAGTGATGATGGTGGTTCTTAGCTTACATGATACCTGGGATAACGAACTCCGGGATCTCATTTCGTATAAGGGATTTACTTCGGAATATCTTGCTTCCCTTTGAACGTCGTTCTGTAGTTGGAGTAGGGGTGGAATGTTTTCGGTATGGACGTTCCGTGGGTACTTTCTTCCGCTTCCATGCTCGTCTTGCAACCAATGAGACGACAATGATGATTATTCCGAAAGCCAGGCCAAGTAAGGCTGTCACCAGAGCTAAATAATTAGCTAGAAATTTTGACACTTGTAGGAGGTCATATTCAGCGAATTTTTCTCAGTACAACATGCTCGTATTACACCGCGGACTTGCGGTGAAAATCAGTGAAAGCTTTGCATTTTACACAGAGCTGGCAATGTTGCGAGCCCGCACGAGTGAGAGAAAATTCGCTAAATTTGACCAACGTGGAGGAAATAAAATCATAACATATAAATATCTGGGAAAAACTTGAATATTCGATCGCATTTCCTGTGGGTCAAGTGTGTTTTCCGTCTAATGTCATGTCAGTAAGAGTGGTCCTGTCGCTCTAACGTCTGCGATCCGTGCACAGACAAAACGAGTTTGACTTTCGACTTATTTTAAAGTACTTTTTATTTCAAAGTAGTTCTCGGACTTTATATGATCTGTCTGGTATACCTACCTCCTCCACAGGCTGACCTCCTTAATGTTGTAATGCAGAACACGCCCGTTTGCAGGTTAACATTGATATTCTGCGGGGGATGTGGCCGTTACGGTAACTATAGAGATTGCATTTACTTGCACTTTTCAGTTACTTGCATTTTTTACTGAGTATGATGTGACGTCCAATCTAAGTTATTTGGAGGGTTCAGTTCTATGGAATGTCCAGTCCGGACATTAGCCAAGAGCGAAGCGGTTTATTCCATTCATTCATTAAGTATTTAAATTTAAACGCACTTATATAGTAATATATGATAATGTATATAAAATCTATTTTCCTTTGTGCTATCATTATGACTGGCATTTACACCTGGTCTAGTAGATTTCAAAAAGCAAAACTTTCAAACTTCAAAGTCTCCAACGTCGAATACTAAATATATATATTCCGCGCTTACATAGGCCGGAATGGCTGACTGGCTGGCTGACTCATTCATATATTGTTACTGCATAAATGTGTAGCAAATTTATTTTTATCATTGACTCTTTTTAACTAATTGCAACACTTATTTTCGCATCTCAAACACGTTTTTGGCTGTGATATCCTGACTATCAATCCATAATTTATCATAGAACATGTGTTTGACGCCAAAGTATATAGTCATAACAAAGGCCTGAAGAGGATGCGCAAGGAATCGAATCTATAATCTAGCGTGTTCACTACTTCACATATATCTTTCATTATCGCATTCTCAGGGAAGACCCCAAGTAACCCGAGCCTTTGGCTTTGTTTCGACGAGTCTAAAGTTTCATAAACATACGCGAATATGAATTTTTCACCCTTAAATTAATCTTAAAATATTAATGAATGATTTATTTTGTAAGGAAGTAATCATGCTAACCTGTCGAACTCATTGTATTGAGCATTCGTCTATCATTTTGCAGTAGGGCCACGGAAAACGGAATCTCTTTAGTGTATCATTAACCGAGTTCCATGATCGAACTTTCACCAGTGTATGTAAATCATAAATACTCCAACTTAAAAGGTGATATTGTTGCTCTTTATTACAAGGCTAGTCACTCCATTTAGGTGAAATGTTTTTATGTTGATCCGTTAACCCGTCTCACCTCAATACACTTGATGGAATATATGATTTGACATTTTAAATGACTCGCAACGCACGGCTGCTCTTACCGTTTACATGCGTCCCACGCTAACCAATTACAATGCAGCATTGGGAAATTTAAATACAAGATGATGACGCCAACGCGAAGGACCGTTGAATATAATGAGCGTCATTAAACGCTTGAGATAGCAAAGCATTCTCGACATGGAAACAAATCAAAAATAGTTTTGGTTCGTTGTTGTACGCCCTAAACAACAGGAGGTTCTCGAACAATACCAACAATGATCTACATTGTGGCTCAAAATTCGCACAAATTTGATGAAGAAACTTGATGAAATATGTACTTGACTCTTCAGACACTACGGTCACTATCATGTACAAAGCAAAAGTTTATGTGTATTATTTGGACTGATGAAGAATTGCAAAACAAATAGACCGTTTCCACAAAAGAAAATAATCATGTTTATTATCGTAATACAAAGAACTTATTTGGATTACCTCTCCGAGAGACGAAGATCGTTTAAATTATTTAAGTCTAACCTCTGTTGCCCTGTAAGACCTATATAAGCTTATGTACACCGATCAGCCAATATTCAATAAAAATACTAATTTTATTTATAAAGTTCATTTTGCGGTTATCTAGATAGATCTGTGGTATAGAATTCCAGCTAGAAATAGGAGCTCAACGTCATAAACAATGAATTATGTGTCCTGATAGCAGAAGCATTATATTGATTCTCCTGACTAAATGACCCTTACCTAGTGAGCGTCTTGGCACAAAGGACAGCGGTATTGCAATATAACATCATTAGTGATTGTTCATCAGATGTTTTACGATTTACAAAACTATGTACATTGTGTATTAATTTAACGGCCTAAATATTGACGGATTAAAGCGTTAACGGCTTTGTTCCGAAGAAATTGATGTAACGTTCGCTTTTGACGATTACCGATTTTAACGATTATCAGTATGGTTGGTCATACATACAACCACAGATACAACATGTCAATTATCCACAGAGAAAGCTGCGAACTAATAGGGATAACTGGGGATAACTAGTACTACCTGAAGAGTAATAAAAATTAGCGTGACCCCTCTGTTGACGTAACATGCATATCCTCAATAGACAGATTTAGATAGAGGACGGTGTTGTACCCATGTAGGGATATGCCACGCCATTTTGGCGTCATTTTCACGTCGTCTTTGACGTCCGCGTCCTCGATCTAAATCTGTCTAATAATCCAAGATGGCGACCAGCTTACTTTTTTCGGTCAAAATATTTTGAAAGCTAAGCAAGATATAGGCAGTCTGTAATGGACTTTGATATATGCTTTCAGGAGTTCTTTCAGATGAACTAAACTGATTTTTTGTTGCCAATGTCCTTTAAGTGATGCTTACCATATTGAACATAAGCTATATTGTCGGTAATACTGCGCTTTTGATCATTATATGTAAAAAGCGCTTTATAAATGATTAAATTATTATTAATATTAGTATATAGGTGGAAGTAAGCTTTTCTGGGCAGTAGATGCATGATGGGCAACTTCGGAACTGTATAGATATAGAAGATACATATAGAAGAATGACAAGAAAGAGAGAGGCCGTTCGCCCTAGTAATCTACATCGATCTAAAATCGATTCAGAGTTGTACCGAGCCAAATGTGGAGAACCAGAAACGGATCAAAAGATCGATCAAAACTAGAACCCAGTTAATTTCTTGCTTAGCAGCCTGGCATTTTTTTTCGCTGTCATTAGACATTACTGCGGGTCACTATACTTCATGATATAGCGCCATGAAATATTGAAATCAACAATCTGCATCATGCTCATGCTGAATTTAAAAACTTTAGTTAAACTCGGTATGTACGGTATTCAGTTGCTGTGTATTTCTGTGTTGACGTACCACGTATGGTTCTTGCTGTGTCTCAACACAATGGTTGGGTTTAAAACAAAAACACATTAAGTTGTTTGTTTTGTCGGTTAATAAGCCAGGTTTCCAGAATACTAATACTGGCTCAATATACCAGTGTTCCGAAGATGACAGGCATACAACGCCTGTCTGCCTGATTAATTAATCTTGGGTAATTGTATAGATACTTTATACCCTTGAACGGTCTGTTGGTAGCTGTATTTAAGAACATTAACTATATCGTTACCAGTTTTAATCTAAACACTCGAGCTCTTCAATGAGAGACAGCACGCGTGAACAGCATGTAGCTACTGTGTCTTTGTTACTCAATGGTGCATATCTCCATGTCACTGCCCTCTCAATTAATGCAAATTTCTTTCCCTGTAGCGAGGATAACTCTACATGAAGGTAACTACACCTGTTCTCATAAAGTGGCCTACGTCTTGTGTAGGCTGTGTGTAGGCTGACACCGTGAGATTTATTTGAAATAATTCTTCAAAAACTTGGTTCTCAGTGTAGTGGTACGTGGCCTTTTATCAAAATCAATTGGGGTCTTTTGTGGTAGACTCATAGTGCGGCTAACCTCAACTTCAAACTGTTTCTTAAACCTGGCTTACACTTCAAAGTTTCTGTGATCACAGTAGGAATTTTGCATGGGTAAATTCTAAGTTTTGAAGGATTTGTAAGAAATGTTTGAGGTAACTGACTGTTGAACACTGAGTCAGTTTCCTCAAACATTTCTTACAAATTCTTCACAACTAGAATTTATGCAAAATTCCTACTGTGAGCACAGAAACTTCGATAGTGTAAATATTGATTTTGTCATTTATCTTTTTTGAAATGTTGCACTATCCGTGGGCCGGATCTCTGAGCTCAAAAGGTTGGTTTCAGTCTAGATAGTGGTCTAGTTAACTTGGAACGCTCTTCCATTGTGGTAGATGGTGATTGCTTAATTAGATATTCATAAACGTCAAACTGCTGGGTGCTAATTAACCGTAAAAGGTTATTTTCTGAATTAAACGGTCATTTTGAATCAACCGTTTTATGGGCAACCCGCAGGGAAACTTCACTTTTAATGGATTATTTTGGAAACATTTTCTTAATGTTGTGGGAGGACATAAGTGCAGTAACACCTGTTTCTTATTCAATTTCACTTCAATTCTTATATTGAAGTGTGTAGGTTGGGAATCGTGAGAATAATTTGAAATAGTTCTTGCCACGTCTTGCCATTGTAGACAACAGTCTTAAATCAAATACACGTCTTTTATACGGTAGATTCTAGTTGCTTGTCAAACGGTTCGGTGTTTCTAATAGTGTTAGCGCGTTTGTTTTTGAAACGGTCGTTTTGGGACCAACCGTTTTTTAGTTACCTGCAGGGAAGTTTATATTTGATTCCAACGATCGCTGTATGTCGTTGGTTGTGGTTTTCAAGTATCAGTTTCCTACATGCATCAACATCACTCAAAATTTTCAACGGTATAAGACTCTTTCTTGAATATATAAGTAATCAGAAGTAATTCACTCACTATAGTGAAAATGTTTGTAAAAAATTGCCGTGTTTTGGTAGAACGGTCACTACAATGGTTCATCTTTACAACCTGGGTTCAATTCTGAAAGATGGCGAATCCTCTCTCTCTATAAGAAGATCTTTATAAAGAGACCAGTTTAGAACTGATATAACTGGCCAATAAGAAAGTTAGATTACTTTATTTTATTTCAGTTTCATTATAGCCCATTCCCCAAACTGTCGCTACAGACAGAAATATATTATATGTTGTGCAATGTTTTTGTAGCTTTCAATAGAGTGTTAGCTCTCAAATCAATCAAAGGTTGACTCACTTCACCAACAATTTATATTATATTTTGTGCAATGTTTTTGTAGCTTTCAATAGAGTGTTAGCTCTCAAATCAATCAAAGGTTGACTCACTTCGCCAACCACTGTCCAACAATGTTGTAACTCCTCAAATTCAATCACGGCAAAACCAACGGTACACTCACGCAGTTTATGATGCACTAAACCAGAAACGATAAACGTTTCACTAAACACTGGCGCGCGTGTTCCGCACACGTAACGCGTTTCGTGGTATTGCTTGCTGCACGCTCCTACGCACACTCGAACACGGAAATATTGCGTGCCACCCTCAAAATGTTTCAGTCGTGGCAAATTCGACGCATTGATCACAGTTATATGTAAGTCCTTTGAAGGCACATCGTAAAATATTGAAAATGTTAGTTCAGGTTTAGCATTGGATTCAATTTTTGCAAAATTTGCATTATTATCGGGTACTTGTGATATCACTATTGTTGGCGTTTCAATGACATTACTTGCTGTGGCTCCATATGACTCCTTGATGCTTCGCTTTCTGATTTTTCTCGATTTCCTTGTTGTGATGGCTCTTTCACTTTCATAGTGACTAGCGAGTGGTATTTGATATTCAGGCGTTGATTGCAACCCAGAGTTGTTATTATTGAGGTTTCTATCAATAAACATGGACACATCCATCGATTGAAGCGTTTTAAAATGTGGTTGAATGTTCACAGGTTCGTTTGAGGTATATGGGATTCCACTGGTAGGTTCTCGTTTGTGGTAGGGTGAAGAGGTTAGGATGTACTTCTGGTCATATTTCATGCCTGTTTCTGATTGTAGTAGTTCTGCTTTATGACGTCGCCAATGCAGTACAGCGTAGCCGATCATTAACGATATCACAAAAATGGAACAGATAATTGCGACGCTTGCTATCCACCACATCTAGGAAATACAATGTAGCAATAATGTATTAGTGCAAAGGTTGTTTTACATTCTTCAATGTCTTCGTGTTCGCGGAAAGTGTGATCCCTATAGTAACGACCGGCTTCAGCACCCAGCTGAGGGAACAATATGCAAAGTATGACGTTGATAAAATTGGCCAAGTTGAAAGTTGAAAAATAATATGATCGCACTGTGAAGTCCATCACGAATTCAACTTTTTCGGACACCGTCGGTGTATAAATTGTAAACGATCATGAAGCGGACTGAGGTGTTGATTCAATGTTGTAATTTTTGTGTTTGTCCACATTTTATAGAAGGCTTAGAAATGTGTACAATAGTAACATGAAATATGATATGACAGAAATCTACTGTAAAATTTTAGGAAGACTATATAGCTGAACAAATATCACTCCAAATCCGTTCAGTGTGCATGCATTGAACCTCTCGTTTGCCCCAATCTTCAACCTCCTATAAGCTACGTTTACAGAGCACCCGATGAATAACCATAAGATTCTGAACCGTATAAAAAACTTGCACGGATCCACCTGTACACAAGGTCATCAGGGATTTGGAACTGTGTGCAAAGATGGAACTGTACAGATTTCGTGCGGAACCTTGTAGTTTAACTTAGTCTTATACACACGCAATTCTTCACGACGTCACTGAATCATTTGTCGGATCCAACGTCGCGTGTTATTAAAATCAAAAGCTCTCACTGAAACATGTACATAACTCGTACATCCAAAATTGTTACAAATAATTCAGCGACGTCGAATATTGCCTGTGTAACCGTCGTTTAAAAATTACGTGGAGTAATTAAATATTCGTACCTTGCCTCTCTCTTCCTAGCTATGCAAGATATTTGACAATTTTGTTCTTTTTAATCGCGTTTTCCTTTCCAAAACATAACTCCATACCATTCCAATACATTTCATCCAAAAATAACCATCTATATAACAATTTCAAGCCATAAACACAATCCAAAGACTTTTCATTATTTTGTATATGTCATTACTCATCGCTTATTAAAATAGTTTTTCAATTGAAAACTGCCCTAAGTCAACAAGGGATTTGTGGTTTTTTAGGATTTAGCATATTTATGACTGGCTAATTATCATAATGAATTTTTGGTCAATATAAAAGTAATTTCGAAGTCTGAAAGTCTGGAGTTTAAGTGTTGGTTTGAAAAGCACTTTAGAATACGTAATATAGGTATAAGTTGCACCGTCTATTTCAAGATGGCTTGATATCAGAGTTCAAATATATTTTCCATATTAGAAAATGTTTGTGTTGTGAGTATTAGCTCTGTACACTCAACAGTGAACTGAATAAATTGATTTATACTGGATAGCTCAACCAGTTCTAAACTGTTCTCCCTAGAGGGATGTAGTAGGCAGTATGGTCCACTCCCCTGTCGTATGTTAATTCACATACCAATTCGAGATTTTGGTAAAATTTTAGCCGTGGTCAAATTTAGTCTTTGCTTTTCGAGAAGCGTTCCATGTAGTTAGTACCTTAGAACATTATTTGGTTAAATTGTCATGTTGAACATGATTTAAATGTCAGATACAGTAAATGAGAAATACATTATTTGAAAATTACACGTTGTTGCTAGGGTAGCAGTAGCAATTATCCTTTAAAGTGGGGGTAATTAATGCTTGTAGTGAATTTAATTAGTTCTTAATTCTTTCACTGTTGCTATAAAAGAAAAGATAGCTTTTGCAAACGGATTATTGTTACGAGAAACGGACTGTACAAATTTTGAACGAAATATCGTCGCTAGTCTTGGCTTAAAATGCTCCTCGTTACGAAGGCTCTTCAAACATTGAAGTGTTTTAATTTTTTCGGTTGGTTTAAACAAACCATGGCAACTTTTTCACATACTACCTACACTGTGATACACTGGACCATCATGACTGACATATCTTTTTTTCCTAGTTCAGACACAAACCACGATAGCTCACAGTGTCAGTTATATTGATTTAAAGTTAATCTTACTATACCAAAACTACATTTGTTGTCTGTTTTTCCTCATGTAAAAAAGTAAAAGCTCTTTAAATTTTTGTTTGCCTACTTATTAAAAAACGCACGTCTGATTTTTCATTAAATCTGTCCACAAATTAGACGCGTGGGATAACAATGTCAATAAAAGACATCCTTTTCAGTTATAAAATATTAATCTTATTTATGTTTTAAAAGTGCCTGAAAAGGCATATCACGCTAAAAGTATCTTTTAACGATAGCTGGGTTTAAATTAATTTACTGAGAAACTTCCATATTAAAATTCATCAAAGTAAAAAAAATAATTAATTATAATATTACAACAGTTTAAATGAGACGTCAGCTTAGGCGCCCACTCTAACAATAGAAGATCACGTCTAGATTTTCAGTACCATTGTTCATTTAAGTTCTTTGTAGGTTTGCATGACGATAAAACATATAATACTTTTTGTTTGTGGAAACACCACGTAAATTTATTACTGCAGTAATAAATTGCAATAATAAATTTACGTGGTGTTTGCAGAATTGCTGACGTGTATCCTTGCATTCAATTTTTTTTAGTTTTCTTTGAATCCAATATGAGACACAGAATCTTCCTCACTGGGTGAATCGTACGCAAAACTCAAGCTAACACTATCCCAAAATGCATCGTTGTCAGAGCATACGTCATCATCACCAAGACGACCAAGTTGACTGGCTCCTCGTAGAGACTGGTATGTAGTATTTAAGTTTTGTGTCTTTGGGTTGCTTTTTGTATCGAGGATTTTTATTGGTTTGCTACTGTCACGTGGTGTGTTTTGCAGGATAGTGATTGGTGTAGTGTTTTCACGTGGGGTAGTTTGAAACGTTTTGATTGGTTTATCTAGAGCTACGTGTTGTTGAGAGTTTGCTGTTATATGATTGTTACTCGAAGTAATTAATTTCTTGTTTGGCTTCATCTCAGAACTGTTGTACAGTTGTGGGGTTATAGATTTCTCCCTGTTTTTCTTTCCACTGTCGTTTTGTGAGTCTGATCTAATTCCACTTGCTCTTTCACCTTTTTCGACATTTACCCTATAGGATTTCGTACTTGTGCTAGAATTTGGACGTTTATTTATGGCTGAGACTGCTCTGGGAAAAGTGGGAAATTTTGTAAATCTTTCCAAGTATTGATTTTCACAGTTTCCTTCTACAGAATGAACAGAGTCTAAGGTTGTTTCGACCACACAATGACATTGTAGTTTTGAAGAGTTGCCTTCCACAGAGGGAACGGAGTTTACAGTTGTTTCGGCCACGCTATGATTAGGATTAGGCGAGGTTTTGACAGCTTTATAATTTATTGGTGATGCATGAATATGGTTTGAGATTTCTGCTTCATCTCCTGTTTCCCCCATTGTGCAAGATCTTCCAGTTCCTAGTTGTGATCCTTTATAGTTTAATAATGATTCATGAGTGAGGTTTAAGGATTCTGTCTGTCTTTTTGGTAATTCTCCTGTTTTATTCATGCAGGAACCTCCAGTTTCTACATGCAACCCTTCAGATGTTTGTCCAAACGCACTTGCCCCACGTTCATGTACACGGCTCATCATCATTGGCGATCTCTGCTGCTCTGAAGAGCCAGCAAATGCGCTGGCACCCCGCAGTGAACCACAACTAACATCTGAGAGGCCCGATCCTTCTCTCCTGAATGTCAATGCATAATAATCTGGGGAAAATGCTCGGGTTTTTGGACTTAATTCAACCCCACCAAAACTACTTGCACCTCGGGAACTGTCATAAATAATTGCATTGTTTGCATTTTTAACGGATGTCGCTGCATTTTTAATAGGTCCGGTACATAACCGCTGGTCATTCAACCGCTGGTCATTAACTGCGGGCTCACTCAACCGGCCATCATTCATCGCAGGCTCATTCGACCTCTGATCATCATTCGTCGCGGGCTCATTCAACTGACCATTATTCATCGTTGGCTCAATTCTTGAGTTTTTATTACCTTCTCTCTGTATTGTTTGGTCTCCTTCAGTGATTATCCCACTTGTTGATAACGTTGGGTACCGCTGGGGATCTTCAGGTGCTGTGATGATATGTATTGATAGACTGCCATCGTCGATTAGGTCAGGGTTGGTTAATGAGGGGCTTTCTTGCGATATTGTAGGATCTTCAACTGTGCTGGCTATATTTATTGATCTGCTACTATTGGTTGTTGGGTCAGGATTGCTTGTAGAGCCATTGGATATCCTTTGTATATTTAGTTGGTCTGATGACTGAGAAGTTGTATGAGGATGTACTGAGCTTTTTGTACTGTTGGGTAATATCGTGGTTTGATCATTTCCACAGGAGTTTGAATCAGTAGTAATGCTTCCATTGAAACTACTGACATAACTGAAGTGTGTACTCGGTAGTTCCCGATATGCAGGACAGAGAGAGTCGATGACTTCGTTATCCTCTTGTTGTAAGATGGACTGAATTGTAGGGTAGACCGTTGATGGGACGTTTGGGAAGCGGAGCTTCTGTGATGAGTTACCTAATAATATAGAAAATAGAGCAGATACGGTTAGCTCGCTGCTCCTTACTACTGAGTTTGCTACAGAAGGTCTAGGGTGGGATATTTGTTGTTAGGGCAATATACGGGCATAAGCAGAGCCTGGCTGTCCTGTAGTAACACTGCTCTGATCTGTGTTTGAAAACTTATGTCAATACAATTGTGGTTTGTCTTCTTCTGTGCTTTGAGGGTTTTTAACCCAGGAGGGCCTGTTCGCAGGCTATTTCCAAGTACTCTGGTGTTCCTCCCTTCCACCTTGATTGTGCTTCGTGATCAGATGTGGCATCTACAACGACAGGCAGAGGCGCCCTAGTAAACCTTCCACTCCGGGTCACATTTTTGCTGTGTCCTTCGAATTTAGCGTTCAGGAAAGATTATCAGCTTCCCCTAGCTTTATTTATATCGCAGCAATTAGCATATCAAAAGCGTTGTACCTGTGTTGATGAGGCTCTGTGTGTCTTTATCTTTTTTCTTGATTGGTTTTTGACAGCAATAAAACGAGGTTGATATAGCGGTGAAAAAGGTGAAAGTTAGGATTGAGCCGAGAGCGATTGAGAGAAACAACCAGCCTGTTGCAAATGAGAGATTCTCGCTTGCAGTGGTGTGAATAATTTCTGAAAATAAAACAGTGATTCAATTGTTATTTATGGACTGAACTTATGCTAAACTTAACTAATTTTATACTAATACTGCGTAGATCTACCAGTTTTTAACTGGCCGCAGTTTGCTCTATACAAGTTTAGTAAGGATTATCTCTTATTGATCCAGTGTTATTACTGGAGGTGAAACCTAAACTAAACTAACTTTATTCATACTGGATAGCTCTATCGGTTCTAAATTGGGCTTCCTAGAAGCCCTGTAGTAATGGCCATCTCTTGTTAGTTAGTACAGTGTTATAACTGGAATAAATCGTTGGATCTGGAAAAATCTTTTCAGAAGAGTAAAGCTGGAAGCATTTTTCACATTTATACGAATGAGGCGATACATGCCAATATTGCAAAAATTGAACGACTATTGCCGGTTGGATCAGAGAAACAGTGAAGAGAAAAATATGATATTTCATTCTTTCTTTAATGCTTAGTTTGATTTTTTTGTGGAACAGTATAATATCTGAAAATGTACAATTCAGTTAAAATACAAAGGCAACTCCAAATATATTACGGGTGGCTGTTTTGTCTCTCACTCGTTGCCAAATATCAAAACATCTATATAAACCAAGACAGAATCATATACAGTTCATAAAAGTATCATCTTACCTTCCCCTGTGTGCATTATGAAACTAGAAAACGTGAGCCATATACTCTCATGTAGAATTTATTTAACCGAAATAACATCCATGCAACGCTTCGTTGAAGAGCATTTCCTTGTCAATCATATCAAGTGCCTCATCTCGTGTGTTTCTAAATTTATACCTGTTCTTGCCATCCAACCATTCTGAGATCATAAACTTGCTAAGTTGCCGTAGTTTGTGTAGAAAACTCATTTCAAGCAAAGACTCTTTTCCTCTACTGAGTTTCCAGGGGTGTTGGTGGCTTCACTGTTTGATTCCTCGCCTTGGTATGAAAATAAGATGGAAAGTTACACTGCGTTCATATGAGACAAAAAGTTTTCCCGTGTATACCGAGATCTCGCTTGTTGACAGGCGAAATCTCGGTGACCAGGATAATGTTTTTCTCATATATGAACACAACTTTCCCGCTTAGCGGGATAACTTTCTGTCGTGTCAGCAACTTTTCAATTCAATCGATGTTCAGTGTTACGTCACAGCCGAAAACTTTTCCCGGTAAGCGGGATAACGTTTCTCCATATGAACAGAACAAAAGTGTTTGGCTAGTCGAAAAGTTTTCTCGCTAACCGGGATAACGTGTGCCCATACGAACAGGCCCTAAAGATTTAATTAATCTAACTCGTTCCCAATCCCTTGCTCTTTTTAGACCAGTCTGCTCTTTGTGACGTCATAATAAGACCGTTATCACTGGACGTCGTTTAGAGCGTAAAAGAACAAGGCTGCAGTCCAAGACCACGAAATCTTGCCAAGCGTGAAATTATCCTGCAAAATAAAATTATTACAAAAAATTTCAGGTAAGACGTCAGCCCAATATCAATAGGTTTTTTCTTACTGTTTCGGTTTGTAGAAACACCAAGTTTAATTTCTATATTCCAAGTCTTTCAATTCAAAATAGCGCTGATGAAGATCTGGGCTTTGAAATTTGAAAATGAATAAGCCTGGTGTTTTCATAAAACAAAACAATTCTTTTATCGTCTTGCTACCCTACAAAAATCTTACATATATGTTTAAAGCTTTATGTTTCAGTTTATTATATTGACAATATGTAGCTTTTGTTCATATAATACATGCTATATTCATATTTAATGAATGCCTACAATTTTTATTTTACATTTTTCAGTCAAACTGTATGTGAATTTGCATCGAATGAACACAGTTCTCTTACTTTGTATAAAATAAGAGCGACACATGATATACTGTAGTTCAATAATACATCTTTGTTGTTTTTTGTGTGCAGACAGCCGTGAAATAAATTGAACACTAACATGTGCCTCATTTAAATTTGAATAGATGTATACATTTCAAACAGTGTCGGTATACCGCTGTTACAGATTCGTAAAAGCTAGTTTTCGCTTTTGCGCTTATAATTTTTGCCAAAAAGTAACAAAATAGGGTATCCATATTGGTATAGAAGGCATGTGAGGCAAATTTAGAGGCGAACGTTTGAATTTAAAACAAAGCATATACAGGCAAATAATTATTTCTTACACGGCGCTTGTTTTAATTGTTATAACTAATTTTGATTGCTATGCTTGATATGTGTTTGATTTATATACATAGTTATCTCAACCATACAAAATAAAACAAATTCAGAATATTCCATATGATATGGATCAAAACCAAGACAAAATTCTATATACTTAAAATAATATTTCGTCTTGATTTTAATCTTGGATTTTCAAGATGCATATATTCGAATTTTTTTTATTTTGTATTTTAAAATGCCGGCTGGAAATGGATATCTTATCTATATACTTGTTCCTTTCTGTAATATCGCAAAGTTTTTCGTTTAACGCCAGCTAGGGGTTCGGTGGCGGTGGTTCAAACATGGCCTAGCGCACTTGCCTTTCACCTCTAAGGCCGTGGGTTCAAATCTCAGTGAGAACTTCTCAATGTGACTCGAACCCAGTCCTCATGTGAAAAGAGTAAAAGTCAACGCTCTGCCGAAAGTCGTGGTTTTTTTCCGGGTACTCCGTGTTTCCTCCCACAGGGAAAGTTGACAGGGTGGGTTAGGCACATAGGTCTGGACTCTGGAGACAGATCATTAATGAGGTATGGACAGATGCTCATATTTGCTCCCAGATTTTTCACGCCGTTCCTGTGCAGGGCTGCAGGCTTCTCCTGGAGACTATAACTAAACAGAGATTTTAACTCTGTCCAACAGTCAGCAACTTATCGCAGCTACGTTACACAATCTATCTGCTCCCCTTTACAGCTACATAATGTCCGCCTCTGCTCAAATAATCTTTTAATATATGACCTTAACTTCTCTGCAACGTCTATACCACCTTACACTTATGCTTTCCGCTCATCTTGTCCTTCAGCGAAACGCCTGATACAAATACTGAAGGTATTCTACAAATGTCCATGCATTGGTAGAACAGTCCCAAAACACGAGCACTCTTTTCCAAAAAGAATGAGTTTTCCAAACCATGAGCATTTGTTTCGCAGTAATAAATTAACGTGGTGTTTCCAAAAACAAAAAGTATTATATGTTTTATCGCCATGTAAATCTACAAAGAACTTACCATGAGCATCCTATTTAACAACAGATTCCACAATGTTGGTAATGATTCTCAATATATAAATCCTTAGTTTCTCCAAAAACAGCAATAATGCAAGGTAGGTCAAGTTAAATGTCTTATATCGCATTTTAGTTTTTTTTATCCTAAACGTAAATTTAACCGGTTAGAATTAGTGTCAAGATCAGGATTAGGATTATCAGGATTATATTAGGGAAATATTAGGGAAATTGAGCAGTTTTATTTGTTCAGCTTAGCATGCAGTTCATGTAGATTTATCGGAAGAATGACTTGTTGTCAATAACCAGCCTTGCATATTTCTGACACACTTGCGTTTCCTAGCAAAATAACCTTCGTTTATACAAAATATGGCTGCGTGGACTCAATAATTATATGTTCGGCAACAACATCCGAGTTGTATAACATCCTGTTGTATATATTATTGTCTTTTTTATCGTTGATGATAACTTTGAAAAGGAGCTTTTATTCATGACACTATTTTCTTAATTCTGATGTTGGATTCGTAAGGAAAAACATTTGTGTTTGTCGTCGTCTCTATAAACGGTGACGAATTCGATTTACATGAAAATTTATCGGATTTTATGGAGTCGTAAACATTTAAAACAAGACGAGAGACTGAATCACGTAGAGCAGAGTAACAAATGTAGATTATCCTGATCCAGTTTAGATTGTCAATCGAGAAGTTTAAATCAGAACTGTTCAAGGGTTAACCGTTTTATTTTACCCAAGATGACAAATCATTGTTTTACCGCAGATCTTGCGTTTTATTCTCCCAAAGGTGAGTAGTATGGCATGGAAATATCAGGTAGTTTGTGTATTGTAGATAGTGTACCCAGTTTATATCTTTTATAGTTCAGTGAATTGAATTTTACTTAATATGAATGTATGTTTGGTAAAGTATAACATGTTAACGTATTAATACACTTTTCTAGACTCAGAGCGACCAGAATCATTTCTCCGTCGGATTCTCTGGAAGAACTCGGGTGTCCTGTGTTTGGCAACTCTCATCACCCTACCCATAATCCTTGGCGTGGCTATAGGTTATTTCATTGTTCTTGCATTCGTGACGTCATACCGAAAAATAACGGGTAAAAAATCTCGCGAAGAAAAAGAGAATGAAGCCGCCAAAAGATTCCGGATTGTTTTAGGCCATGATTTACTTGATACTGCGTTTACGAAGCCTGAAGAGTTGCCTGGACAGAAACCGAAGTTTATACGACCTTTACCGAGGTATGGTTCGGTAAACGACAGCGCACTGTCAAGCGATGGAAATGAGTCAGAGAGTGAAACGCAATCTGAGGATGAATCGGTCGAGGATGAAAGAAATTTAACGGAAAATAGAAGTGAGAAGGAAGATTTATATAAGAAAGTGGAAGTATATCTGGAAGTACCTCACCAACCTCGTTCCCAAGCCCTTTCTGAGCAGAAAAATCGGGTTGACGTACACTCTGATGTCACCAATGACGTCACAGATTCTGACGTCATTAATCAAGATGGTTCGCGGACGACTAGTGCTTCATCGGGACATTATTCTACAGCAAGTGAGATGGTTGAATCCGATGGTCGCGATTCTAGGGGAAATGATACTCCGGCACTGACTACCCGGACTTATGATACCCTGGGAGAAAATACCCAAGAATATGATACCCAGCCACCTAAAACCCTGGAACAAAACACCCCCTGTGGACATGAAACTTTTGATAAATCAATCCCCGATGTTGCTAAACTTACAATAAATGAAAGCGGTTTTTTCGAGGAAAGTACACCCGATGTACATTCTATGAAACCAGTCAACAGTCTTCAGTTTACCAAAACAGCGCCTGTGATACACTCTAAAATTCTGAACAGCGGCCTTCAGACTGACCAGACAGCACCCGCGAAGCATTCTAGACTCCTGGACAGCGGTAGTGAGACTGTCAAAACAGCGCCTGCTATACATTCTGCATACCAAGACAGCGATCCTGCAAGTATTACCGCTATTAAACATGATTGCAGTCCTAGAACGGCAACTTTCAGTCACCATATTGAAATTTCACCTTCTCTGGGAAAACTAAAATATTCCGTACATTATATGCGAGAAAAAAATGAACTCCAAGTGACCATTATAAAAGCCATTAATTTATTTCATGAAAAAAATGAAACACTTCCAAGCTGTTTTGTAAAAGTGAGCTTACTGCCCCAGCGTTTTTGTTGGCAAAAGACGAAAATTATCGAGGAAACAAGACATCCAGTATTTAATGAAACTTTTGTGATTTCTGGCTTTTCTCATGAACGTTTTTCGAATTACACACTCTTGATTTCTGTTGTGAATGCGGTAGCACCCTGGCAGGGGTTTTATGGAGATCACGTGATTGGTGAACTTTATGTACCGTTATGTCACGTGGCAAAGTATTCGTGCAATCAGGAGAGGGTGTTCAGTCAATGGACGGAGTTGAAGCCGCAAATTAGTGAGGTTGGTGCCAGTAGTTTAACTTGCCAATTTTCATCAAATAGTTTAAGAATAAATATCTGAGTAATTCGACTTTAATTTGGACAGCCCAATTTACTGCGCACGACTGAACAGACCTGGAAAAAGCATCACAAGTTTTTATGACATAGCATTGTAAATTTTATACAGGTACCAAACGTTGCTAAATGTGGCAAGATCAACCTGGCATTGTGTTATCGACCAATCAGCGGCCGTCTTATTGTAACAATTAAGAAAGCTAAGGAACTGGAATGTGACAGCAAAGAAAAGTTTGGTAAGTAGTAAGTCAGGGTGGTAGGAACGATTTGCAATAAGTTGTTTAAACTAAGCCCCAGTTATCAGAGTGAGAAAATAATGTTGATTTTTTTCATTGTATATAGTAGTAGTCTGGTATTTGGAGGCAAATAAATAGAATGAGATGTAGTTTTTAATTTTCTTGCTTCTATTTTAATAAGTGTGTCAATATTCTTGACCACCATCTGCTGCCCTGTAACCGGGGTACTGAAACCCACTTGACTTGCCTTTTTATCTTCCACAGACCCGTACGTGAAACTGGCTTTATACTGTGGTGGTTCAAGGGTAGGTCGTGGCACTACACGAGTGAAACGTAAGCTCACCAGTCCTGTATTCAACGAGAAATTTAACTTTGACTTGAATGCTGATCAGATAGCTTATACAACGATTGTGGTAAAAGTGATGAACAGTATTGATAGTACGAAGTCAAATTGTACTGGAGCCACTGTTATTGGTTATGAATCAACTGGGAATGGTCAAGAACATTGGCTATGTATGATGCAATGTCTCAGCAAACATGTCGACGCTTGGCACAGCTTATATAGTTGAAGTCATTACAGAAAAATAAACCCTAACCCTGATCCTAACCCTGCATGACTCTGTCCTGAAGAACACAACATGCTCGTAAATCTTTATGTACTCAACATGGCGGTACTAAAAACCTACTTTAAATTTTCAAGAAGAGAAGAGCTGACAAAAGTTCAATTCTCCAGGAAAGATGAACAAAAACTGCGGTTATTTAAAGTAAAACAAGACACCGATAACAATTTGAAATAAAAAGGAAATTAAAATTGATTTAATCTGCAATGAATAACACTTTATTTCCTAATCTATATGTATTGAAACTGTGAATAATATTGAATTAGTTTCCTAAACAATGAGATAACATCTCATTTCCCCAACGGATGATGTGTGAACACTTGGCGCGTGCCTTGTGTAGTTTCCTTGTTTATGAAATACGTACGTTTTTAATTAATCCAACTCTTTGATCATGAATCAGTGGCATTAGTTTGATTTCCTTGCCTCCTGAAAAATTTAGTGTTGATGAAAATTTCTATCAGTCTTTGCCTTTGGCAGCAATTTTCTTTAATGACTGAAGTAAACTAGTCTCTGTTGCTTTTGGAGATGCTTGTATGTCTCTCTACGCGAATACAGGCTTGCCTTTGAAGCTGAGAGACACAGGTTCAATCTTTGGTCGGACCTCTACTCAAGGTCTTACAATAATTGAGTAGAAAGAAATTTACATTGGCATCACTAAATGGTTAGACTTTCGCTTCTTTTCGGATAAGGACGTGAAATCGTCGGTACTTCGGAAAGGCTCGGATCCACTATCAATTGGGCAACAGCTTGTTGGGAGATATATGCTCACCAATGAATGAGAAACTCAATAAACATTATGCAAAACTTTACCAACTGTGGTGATAATTACTGCGCAATTTTGTAACCACAGACGCGCAAGAAATATTATAAATGCTTGTCCCTTTGTCGTAAGTCGGTCCTTTCATCTCGCTCGCAGCAAGATCGCTATGACGTCACATGGCAGCGGTCACAGTCTACTTATGTCCTGCGCAATAATAAACAAATTATGTTTGGATATAAGTAAAATTAGTAAAAACCCTAGAGCTTAGTATACATACTGTGTGAAGAAAGTTTGCGGTTTCGTGTTCATCACAATGTTGTTTCCGCTGGGATAGTTGACTCCTAACACAAATATTTCCCCGTCACCTTTCTGTCTATTTGCACAATATTTGCGGTTTAGTTTGTAATTTTTTAAACACGGTCATCAACTGTGTACCGGAGCTCTTGTTTCAAATCAATAGCACTCCTTTGCGCTGACTGAGTTAATGTCTTTTTTTAATGTTGTGTAGGTTTTCAGCTTTACCATGGATATCATTATGTACAAAATTTACAACAATTTCGTCTGTACTACTCAGGCTAGCCCTGATTCAAGCACAAAGTTTCTCCTGATGTGATCACAACAGGAATATTGAAGAATTTGTAAGAAATGGTTGAGGGAACGGACTCGGTGTTTATTAAGTCAGTTTCCTCAAACATTTCTTACAAATCATTCAAAACTTAGAATTTACCTTTGCAAAATTCCTACTGTGATCACAGAAACTTTGATAGTTTAAACCAGTCTTAAGAGAGACATAACCGCTCTCAGAAATTGTGTTTTGTACAGCATCACATCATTTCAAGCTATATAACCCACATTCAAGAACAGATGAACATGGCCTACTGCTATTATGCATGATCGGTAACCTTAGCTATTGTGCATGATGTAACCTATTATGCATGTTATAAACTCAATGATGGCACTAACTGGTTCGTATAAAACAAAAATATTTATTTATGGATAATTTTCGTAGCTTACGGCTTTTCCTTGAACTTGAATGGGTGTTGATGAAGCGTGATCACGGAACCGCTCCACGGGACGGAAATAATATACAACCTTTTCCGTGACGCAATTGAATACAATAAAGATATCATAGCGCCGAGCAGCGCACATAAAGCCAAGAGCCAGAGAAGAGGAGGTCATTGGAAAAGAAGTAGCTGTAACGTTAGTTTGAAGTTCACGAAGTGAGGACCAACGGTTTGCAATATAATCATTCCTACATAACAACGAAGGAGAATACAGCATTGGGACAAGCTTATAGTATTCCAACAAGGTTGAAACAAAGATAGAAGACAGCTGAATTAAGGATTCTATTGGGACTTCTGTTTTAGACGATCTGAATAAGGACAGCGTAGACTAAACCTCTTCTCTCTGGCCAAAGACTGTTGACAACTTGACAAGTATCCTACTACAATGACGTCTTATATAAACGACAGTAACCTTTCTTCATCGCACCACAATAAACCCCCTCTATCCTATATTGCCCTGATTACTCTCGCTATCAAGAACAGTCCCTTACAAATGGCCACCCTGAACGAAGTCTACCAATACATCATCGCCAATTTTCCTTACTTTCAAGAAAATCGTCAGAAATGGCAAAATACGGTGCGACATAATTTGTCCCTAAATGATTGCTTCGTAAAAATCCCTCGACGCTTGTTAGGCATTCCGGGCAAGGGTAATTTTTGGGCTCTACACCCGCAGGCAGGTGGAATGTTTAATCATGGGAGCTTGTTAAGACGGCGTCGTCGATTTCGCTCCAAAACCAGTTCGCGTTCAAAGTCGAGCCCTGGGTACGAGGTTGGATTGGGACGGAACCCGGCTAGTATCCATCATATCGACTCAAAACATCACTTCGACTTATATGGAGCCCAAAATGATTGTATGAATTTTAACCCTGACAGCATCGACCTAACCACAGAAGGCGTTAAAATGCTGTATCGAAATTATGAAACACAAGACAGGAGCCTGGTGCCTAGTCCCCAGTACCCTCCACTCAGCTATCATACCTTATATGGTTGGAATGTTTTACCAAACTACTCCTGCCATATGAACTTTTAAAATTTTAGGAAATCGTTTAGTCGTCATCTTTGGGACATGAATGGGCTACGGCTAACTTTTAGCTGATATTCAGTTGGTGTGCTATTATTACAGATTTATATATTTTGAACATTATCAAACAGGAGTCAAGACTATTTAAACATTTGCATGAATATTTGATATGAATAACTTTAGTAAAATATATGAGAAGCAGTATTTAAAATAATCTAAGGTCAACAAATGAGGAAAAATATTTATTTATATGCTCAGAAATCGTATTTAAGAGATTCTGTATTTTATTGCAATTCTATTTTGCCTACTTTAATTATCGTATATGTCATTATAAAGACTTATTTAAATATTTATATTCCTATTTCATGGATGTCAATTAAAATACATTAAGGTTATATTGTATCTTCGTTGTTTTATTATTAAAACCGGTTTTAGGGAAAGAATTAAGGGTGTGAGCTTTGGGTATATTTGAAGATAATAGATGCCGCCATTCGGCTTTTTTGGTATCTGGCATTTCCTGCCAAAGGCATAGGGTCTATAATGGAGACTTTTTTTACTCATTGGTTTACGGATCCGCCGACCGTAAATATTCAGAAAGTGAAAAATAAAAAAAAATTTGGATGTCAACATTTTACGATTTTAGTTAATTTTAGTTAATTTTGGGTTCTGACATGAAGTAGCTACACGCCAAGTAAACTTTGACTCTAAGTGCTGCTGGCTCATGTTATCGTTGTGACAATCTTGAAAACGAAACAGTGTTTTTTTTAAAAAAAAATTTACGACCTACCGACCTGGGTTTTTTTTCAAGTAAAATCCGTAAACCAATAAATAAAAAAAGTCTCGCCTATATATAACAGCGTTTTTCGCAACTGCTCCGGGTTTAGGTTAGGTCTAAAATGTATATAAATTTGCGTTCGAGTATTCCATTTACTATTAGTCCTATTGAACGAGCTGCCTCCCCGAAATCTTTATATACTAGATCACAATAATGATAATTAGAGATAAAATTTGGGGATGAATGTATCATTAAACCGATAAAACTGATAAAGTGAAATTGATCGAATGATTAATGCCTTGTAACACTGTTTCATTAATTGCATATCACATCTAACATAAGAACAGCTCTAGAAATCTTTCTCAAAACAACATCAGCATATACACAATTATCAAAACACATTCATGTTATTAATGAGTATAAAAAATTCATGTAAAATATCCATTAAATGATGGATTGTTTATATTACTTTCATCTTAGTACAATTTTGATGAAATGCTGTTGAAATGAGGCGATCAATAGAAGCTCTAACAATGTTTATTCTCCCATATTTATCTAGCTAAAATTAGCCTCAGTCTGCTCGACTTAGACCCAACTACAACATATGTCAAAGTCGTTAAAAATTTTCTACAGGAAGCAAAAAATAGCCTCTCCCAGATGACTGGGCATGCGAAACAGCCACACATGAAGCAAGAACTCGCTTAAAAATATTTATGCGTTTAAAATCAAAACGGAACCTACTTTTGTCACATGATATCAATACACTCGTCGAGATGTGAGTGAAAAGCGACGGCGGACGGCTTTGTATTTTTCTATGACGTGTTGATTTGTTCCTTAAAAATTATGTTTCCCAATGCGAAAGATCATGGGAAAATTAACCGTATCCACAAAGTACCTTTAGGGTACCTACGATTAGGCTACTCAGTAAAACAATTTGGGACAGATTTTTTGGGAAACATGACAAGTAAGAACATTTAAAAGAATGCTGAGTCATCGAAAAAACACTCAAGTTCTCATTTTTACAAATTCCTGGGGATCATACCTGAAAATATGTGAAAACAAAACAAAAAGGCAAGCTAAGCTTTCAACGCACTGCTTACATTTGGCGATAAAACTAAATCCGAAAATTTTCTCGCATAAACAAAGAATTTGTACAACAGAATATTTTCAAAACCCGGTATCACTTCGAGTGTGATATTCTTGTGTGATGATACTAATCCGCGGAAAACAATGTGTTTTGTCTCGGTTTGCCGGTCTGTTATGTATATTATACCGATTATTCAGATCATGTTAGAAGGAACTTGAATTTTTTTTTCATTGTTTAATTAAACACATTCAAGAAGAAATATTTCAAATCCGAGTATGAGGACTGGACTAGTGATTTCAAGTCCCCGCGATGGACCATTTGCATTATAGACTAAATTTCGATCTAGACAAATATTTCATCACAGCTTGAAAGAGCATCACAAAATTAGTAATATTCCAAAGTTTCGTTGCGAAATGTTGTAAAATGCGGATAACATAGCCATGCGAAGTTTGCCGTTTTTCAGTCATTTTGTATTATGCACGGGAAATTGACAGCGCAATCGGGTGTTGGGGCATCAATTTCCCGTTTGTAATACAAAATGACTGAAAATTGCAAATTTCGCAAGGCTATATTATCCGCATTTTACAACATTTCGCAATGAAACTTTGGAATATTACTAATTTTGTGATGCTCTTTCAAGCTGTGATGAAATTTTTGTCTAGATCAAAATTTAGTCTATAATGCAAATGTCCATTTGATCACGACCGAGGTGAGGCCAAGGACTGGATCAAAATGCGAAGACATGAAATCTAGTTCAGTCCGAGTTGGAGGATTTGAAATGACATCTCATACGAATAAATCACTACTTAAAGGAGGTGAATTAATTTTGATCCAGTTCAAGGACTGAATTAATTTTGATCCAGTTCAAGGACTGAATTAATTTTGATCCAGTTCAAGGATGATCACGACCGAGGTGAGGCCAAGGACTGGATCAAAATGCGAAGACATGAAATCTAGTTCAGTCCGAGTTGGAGGATTTGAAATGACATCTCATACGAATAAATCACTACTTAAAGGAGATGAATTAATTTTGATCCAGTTCAAGGACGTGAATTAATTTTGATCCAGTTCAAGGACTGAATTAATTTTGATCCAGTTCAAGGACTGAATTAATTTTGATCCAGTTCAAGGACTGAATTAATTTTGATCCAGTTCAAGGACTGAATTAATTTTGATCCAGTTCAAGGACTGAATTAATTTTGATCCAGTTCAAGGACTGAATTAATTTTATCAATATACTTCACAAGGTATTCAATATTATCATGTGAGAAAAGTAAAGCAATATGGTTGGTTTATCATGAATTATTAATGAGTTTGAGATGTAATCCCTTCAATCCGAAGCTTGGCTTACGTTCAAGAAGTCCTTGTAGTCGTAAGCACGATGAACTAGTGATTTAACTACTTCAAAGCATATCTGATGTACAAAACTCTCATTTGATGAACCAGTATACTAGCTTATATTTGGATTTAACTTCTCTAAAGCGTAGAGAGAATTCTCAACTCCCGACAACTCGGCTCGAGTTTCGGCTGATCAAAAATGCCCCATCCTGGGTAAATAATGACATCCCATTTCTTGTAATTAAAAATCTTCCTTTTCAAACACCGACAAATCTTTAGAAAATGAGGAAATCAATGGAAAAACAAATAGATGGATTTTATAATACCGATCAGTTCTCAGTGTCAAAAATTTATTTTTCTTTTTGTTGTCCTGTACTGCGGTTATTGTCATTACTATAATGTTAGTTCTTGATCATACTGTATATCACGGCAGGTTGCCCAAATTCATATAAAAACAAAACTCCCCAGTAAAAACTATACTGCTCATTCTTCAACAAAGTCACTGGTATAGATAGCCAAGGAGAACAAGTGTACAAACATGAGTTGTGTACAAGATGTTATATACTCTATATTAGGTGAACAAAAGCTCCTGTGTTCTCAAAAAGATGTCCGTAGTATGTTCTTGTTTTATAAGTTTCGTAATTGGACGTTAACTAGTGCAGCTATGGCTGTACAGAGTCGTAAATTCACGAGAAATGAATTTTATAATACAAAATGTAATTATCCTTGCCAGTACGCGTGACGCATGAGTCAGGGTAATATTTCTTGCCACCTACTGCGTGTAATGATTTCACTAATGAGTTCTTCACATAAGCTGTTGAAAAACATTGTGTATTTTTTTGGCATTCAATTCTTGTTTATATAACCCTTTTACTTCTCTTGTCTCATTTATAAAAACACACGATCAGAAACGTAGCAACAAGCTAATTGTTTTCTTTTGTGAAAATAAAAGACGTGAATCCTTCAATGTTGTATGTGTCGTTGATCTCTCTGAATAGCGTTTGATTCCTGTAATTTCGTGTAGTTGTCTCATTGCGATTTTCAGTTCTCATCTTTCTAATGAAACCTGCACGATACCAGGTTTCCTCTGGGTGCTCTCCCACAGTTACCGACTACTCTTATAAGGGATATAGCCCTTACTGAACCTCTAGTCTAGCTATAGCCGCCTATAGGAAGAACAGTGAGAACCGATAGAGCAGCTGTATCCATGGTTATATTCTTGAACCGTCTGTGCCAGTGTAGGTAGTGCCAATGTAAATAACAAGCTTACGTTGGTAGGAATGCAACTACCTGAAAAATATAAGGAGAATTTCGACGTTTCGAAGAGTATGCTTCGCTCGAAACGGCGAAATTATCCTTATATTTTTCAGTTAGTTGCATTCTTACTAACGAAAGCTTGTGGTTAGTTTAATTTAGGTTTCTTCCTTGGATCAACAAGATTGAAGAATTCATAAATAGGTAATTTATTTCTGAAGTGCGCGCAAAATAGTGTTGGTGATACACTCCTATCAAGTTTTTAATAAATGTCACAAGTGCCTGTAATATTTTCTTAACACGGGTCAAACAATCATTGATAAACGAAACACATTTATATTGCGTCAATTTCCTAAGCGCGTTTAACAATAACATCGTTATTGAATTTTATCGCTGCCTATTTGGATAGTGATTTATGACTTGGACCATGCTAGATGAAAAGCCGCAAATCCACCCCAAAATATCTTGCCTTAACAAAATACTCATGAATTATTATATTAGACTGACCACACATTTTTATATGAGTTGATTTATTTAGCAATAACATGTGAATTGTTTCATGTTTGTCTTTTTTTTTTGAAAATCAGCAAATTAGATAAAAATTTTCTTGCTTCTCCATAACTGTCTACATTTAGTGAAATTGACCACCATATCACATAGGGACTATACAGAAACCCTACTTCTTCGTTTTTCGTAGTCGTCATCAAAATGGTGAAGTCATGGTCCCAGCCAGTGCGCGTATAAGAGGCATCAGTTCACCCCCTGATAATATTCAAAATGGCGGACGTCCAGGGTACTCGAGGAATGCCTCTCATAAGCGCACTGGCACAGAATAAAGACATACAGAAGTGTATCTTCTTATTAAAAGTGCGTAAGGGATTTTTTCAGTCCGCCATGTTCTTAGCAAGTGCCCTAAAGAGAGACAGTCACCCCCCTGAAAACATATTGAAAATTTAATATTCCAGGGGGGTGAATGCCTCTCTTTAGGGCACTTGCTAAGAACATGGCCGCCAGCTATTTCGGTGAAAGCGCCTTACGGTTTTGTAATGGAAGTTACACTTCTACATGTCTTTATTCTATGGCACTGGCTAGGACGACAGCATTTTGATGACGAATGATGGCGTGGCAACGGTTACGCTTTTTTTGGCTGTATCGACCTTTTGTGTGTCTTTCGTCCGTAACCATATGCTTCCCCGTAACTCTTACTGAAACCCAATAATACAAGACTTGATTTTGAAAGGAATTAAGCATGCGCGCATATAGATTATAGTGTAAATTTAGTTTAAATCATTCGCGTGTTCCTTTCAAATAAATGCGCGCTGAGTTTCTGGGGTGGTCTAACCGCATCATGCTTGATTACTTTGTAAAACGTTTTGTGGTGAGCCGCGCAGCCTTTCGTCAATTAATTTCGGGTTCTGGCTTTGTTTTCACGATTCATAAAGGAATTTTGATTCGTTAAGAACCACTAACATGACGTAGGCAAGTAATTTGTTTAATTTGCGCAAAATATATTCGGATGTTCGGTGTTTTTTTGTGGGCGTCTTTCAAAAATGTATGAATTCTCAGGGCCGAAGCTGTGAAGCTATAGATCCACTGTAGTAAATTACTATCAGCCCCACAGAGTAATTAGACCATAGTCCTAGAGTTGTAGAATACAATTAAATGTTCATTTACATTGTACAGGATAAAGCTATTCATATCTGGTTTAGGAACTGGGTAACTCTATCTGCAGTTCTAAACGGTCATATTCTCTCTAGAACTCCCATGATTAAAGGCCTGTTTAAACGGATCCAACATTGTTGGACGAACATCATCCAACAATGTTACAATAATAGATATGACTGCTTCTCTTTCAAATCTTTTTGGTTAGATAAGCTTTACTCAAACTCTAAACCTAGTCTTGACAAAAATATTTGAAAAAGAAGCCGTTTGGGCCATTATTTCAACAATGTTGGATGATGTTGACCCAACAATGTTGCATCCGTTTAAACAGGGCTTAAGGCCCATATTCAATATTGGTCCAGTGTTAGTCGGAGGCCAGAAACCTTTCTTTAAGTTAACCAAACTTTATACTGGACTAGTAGCTCTATCAGTTCTCAGAGTTCCAGCAAGTGTAACCTCTTAGGCCCCAGTTAAACAATACCGGATTCGCATCGGAGCGACATCAAATTTTAAAGTTTCAAGGGGAGTTTAGCACTCAAGATTATGATAATATTACAGAATTAGTCAAAAACTTCAAATATGAAAAGATGTAAGGGATCGAAAAGCGTCTTAGTAGATGTCGCTCGACTGAGAACTTATTGATTCAGTGTTATACTATACAGAAGGCAACCTGCATGTGAAAACTGTACAAGTGCGCGGTGTTGCAGAGGAGAGTCAAACTGGGAACTACAATGTCTATTCAAGCCTTATTCCATCACATGCTTTCATTCTCTATATCTCGGAAAAGTTCTTTACTATAATTTCCTTGAGTAGTTTCGCCGGATACCTAATTAGAAAGAAGCGCAACTGTTGCCGTAATGGCGCCGCAGTTTCCTCGGGTGTGACTTAGTTTCAGAAACTTTCCCGTTCCGCAGGCGATATGAATCAATGCTTTTCCTTTCACAAGAACTGCGCTCATGAGAACTGCAGGAGTTAACCTTTATTCAAGTGTGACGCAAGTTCAACGTTTTTTAAAGGATTTCCTATAACGAAAAGAGGATTACACGGCTTTGCGTGGTAGTTAAGAATATAACTGGCTTCATTAATCGACACTTTTTGTTTTATTTTTTGTTCATGTTTGTACGCTTTTACGGTGGAGAAACTCGGGCTTCGTCATTAAATAACATCATAACGAAATTTATCGTTTTGCTAGAAACTTTTGGTACAATTGGTTGTATTTTGGTACAGCACAAGACTGATACGGTTTTGAAATTAAATCGTACACAGCTTTAGCGCGTGATATGCAGTATAGATTGATTCTAATGGTCCATATTCTTCTCTGTTTGCAGCCTGAAATATAAGTATAGAACGTTTCGTCGTTTCGAACCGCTTTCATTGCCGGGAGAGTTCATCTCTCGTGTCAACCGGTCCGACTCACCTTCAAAAGAAAATTCGGTAGATTTCGGCATTTGCGTGCGCGCGTACCCCATTCTTATTTCAAACTGCACCTCAGCTGAGTAGTCATGCATTTCTGAAGAATAATCACAAAATATTAACAAGGATATTGAAATCTGCACATGTTTTTAACCCGAAAAGGAAGGAAGACCGTTTCCCATTCTTTCACCGAAATAACAGTATGGTTACTTATATTTTCATTTGCCAACGCAATAATCTTAAAACATTCATGTATTTCAGAATAATGTTAATTTGTGTATTTCTTTTTATATAAGATATAAGATACTTATATACATTCATACCATTCAAAAAATGGAACTGTATTGTACAAAAGTCAAAAGATATACTTAGTTGGATAATAGAACTTAAATTAATATAAATAAAATCAACTTGAATAACCACTAATATAGTTCATGTTTCAGTTTATAAAACCTATTAAATGTTCTCATTCAAGTCATAAAACTTGAATATTAACTAGAACGTCTAGTTTTATATAAAACTCAATATTAATTTAAGACTTGCAGCTTCTGACAAGAAGATTGTTTCAGTTTATAAAACCCCCAAAAATGAAATCTTAAACAAGATTATATACAATAAACCTCAACTATATGTACACTTTATAACTCACTATCCTCAGCTTTGTCCATAATTTCGTGGACGCTGAATCCTTTCTTCGAGAAATTGTTCGTGTTCTGTTCGTTATTTAAGGCAAAACTCGTGGAATAGGCTTGCCGTAGAGAACAGGCAGGAGTGAGAATGTGTTGAAATGGTTTCACTACATAAGGCGAGAATCTGTGCTGAGCCGTGTGACGATGCATTGTACTGAACAGACTAAAATGATGATAGGAATCAACATGGTGTACAAATGCAGGATCGTTGGATGATTTTGGTGGATGACATTTAAATCTTTTAGGTCGCCTCAAGAAGCTGCCATTCCCAAACATATTTCCACAAGCTGGATGTAAACTCCAGAAATTACCTTTCCCTGGTTTACCAAACATACTTCGGGGTACTTTGATGAAACAATCGTTTAGACTCAGGTTATGTCGTATTGAATTTTGCCACTTTTGCTGGTTCTTACGAAAGTATGGAAAACGGGTCATAATATATTCGTAAATCTCGCTCAATGTGAGCATCTTGTTTTGCGAGTTTTCTATCGCCATCGTGATTAGGGCAATATACGAGTAGGGGGGTTTCACATCACTGCCGGTATAGTAATGTTTTGATCCCATATTCTCTGCTTCACTCGCTCTTTCGCCGTCTTCGTCGATTAAAACACCTGGGGAAACCATGTTAGGGTATGCTGTGTAGTGTATACCATCTTCATGGGATAGGCTCGCCGAAGAAGGCAAACCTCGAGTTCCTAAGTTAAACCGATGGAGTAAATCGTAGCGAGTATACTCCGCGGGGAAAGAAGGCGATAACCAATTTGCGTGGCTCATCATTTTCTTGTCTTCTTTCGTCTCCTTACTTTAATAATTGAAGTTCTTGAATGTGTGAGAATTTACTAAGTTCCAAACAGAACAGCCCAATTACGTTTTAACTCAAGATTTTGTGTCCTTGTCTTTGCTCTTCGTGTGTAAAGAATTCGCTCTCTTCGTATCGTGCCTAAATGTTGTCTTGAATGTGGACCAATTTCTTGTCCTATTGCATCTGAATATTGCGTTGAATGTGTAGAGCAATTTCTCTAAGTTCTAGCAAAAAACTCGAGCTCTGCGTCCTGGCAATGCCAGCGTCTAAACATAACTCCAACAATTTATCGCAGTGTTAAAGATAACTGTCAAAAGAAAACTCAAAGCCATCAGCGACAAGGGCTGTTGACACCTCGGATTGTAGACCACCCACATGGCGGGCATATGGATTAAACAGGCCCCATTCAGATAACCCTAAACACTACACATTTATCTGTAAACAAACCCAAGACGCACTCTTTTAAACAATTTGTAGAATTGTTGGATTTCGTTAGAAGCTTTTGCGCAAATTTGCGCACATTTGAATAATTTGCGTAAATTTGAATAAATTGCGCATTCGTTCGTACATGCACGCAAAGCAGCATGTGTCGTCCATTAGCAGCATATATGTCACATTTATTATTTTTCCGCGGACATTTGTTTTAAATGGAAGATTTGTCCTAATCTTCACCGAATTGTTTTTGTAGATAATTTACACCAGCAATGTTAATAACCTGAATGGAAGACCGAAAAATAAACTAGACATGTCCTACGTACAATGACTACTACATCTGTCGCAAGATTATATCGGAAATTGCACTCCATAGTAAAAACATTCAAAAATTCTTAAGGTTTTTGAGGTACTGGCCCGCGACGGGCGGAGTTGATCTCAAGTACACACTTGTAATACACACATTCTCTGATTAGATTAATAAGATAAGATGGAAAATTGACACTAAATAAAAACCCGTAGTTATCGCTCTTAGATCTTATCTGGCACAAAATCATCATCTCATAAGTGTTCGGGTCACTCCTTGTTTTGGACGTACCATGCTAACACTCACAGGCTTAGTCGCGCACTGAAATATACATTTAAAATTTAGTGAAGCATTTTGTTTTAAGAATGGATCCAAATGTTTTCACAACTTAAAGCTGTTTGCGATCATTGGCGGTAGAATTCTCTATACAACACATTAAGCACGAATTGATTTGCGAGATCGAATTAAACCACCTTCTCAGTAAATAAAGGTGAAAGTTTAATGGATATAACATCTTGACGGGCGCAATGACTTCGTCTCGCCGTTCCGTGCGATATACAATACTGAAAAAACATTTTCAAGTTGATTTTCCTCACAGCTTCCTTCCGTTCGACTCAAAACACATCAAGTACACAATTTTCTACTTGAGATGAGATCGCAAAAATAAATTATTTTAGCGATCTGATATGGAACTGATTTCAGACACAGAGCTCACACGTGTAACTGAATAAACATTGCTGTGTCATGCATTTGTTTTTATATAAAATAGCTTAATAAATAAGGCACGGATTGATTTGAAAAAGATTTAATAAAGAAAACTAGCTATATTATAATAGCAAATATAAGAAGAAAGCTTGGCTTGATTGATGGTTTTAAGTTTGTCTGAATCAGCTGTCCTTGTTTTCATCTCGCTGAAAGAAAAAAAATTCACGTTTACTTTGAAATGTTATTTTGACTTATTTCTGTCATTTCTTTCAAGCAGTTGCGATAAAAACAAAGACAGTTTTAACATTGAATACTACCGACATTACAACCCCACGTTCGGAAGTTAGAAATTAGATAACAATACATTTAAAACGATTCAATAAACATTTAAATTATTGGTTTCTGTCTTTAAATCACCAGATCGCCCAGCTTAGAGTCGTCAAACAGAATGAAAAGATGAAATACTATTACACGTACACTTATAGTGATTTTTTTTGTAAACCATTTAACTTAAAAAGAATAAAAATAAATCAGTTTGATTCTGTCAAAAAAAATAATGTTGAACATGTCAAATTACGGTTGAACCAATTGAACATATTTTCATGAAATTAATTTGAATGATTATTGACACCCTTCTGTTCCCCAGTCTGAAGCGAGAACATTTCAGTGGAGGCAGAAGATCGAACATGCATGCATTATCTCATTCTTAAAGCTTCGTCAAATAATTCTAGTTTATAATATTATAATTTGCATGCTGAGGAGAATGTACTACTAAAGATTTCCCTGTGTCTTAGTTCATATTCATTTTCATGGTGACAATTCTCTGGTTCTTTTTTGCTTCTTGCTGTCTCTTATTGAATTCCACGTAGCTTGGAGTGCTTCTCTCCAAGGCGTGGGTAGTAGAAATGTCGGCGTGTTCTTTGATGTCGCCCCCAAAGTAAATGGTCTAAGGATTGCGCTTTATTTGACGTAATTGTTTGTCTCTGACCAACGCTGAGATACCGCTTTGTGCACAATCAGATCGTTAATTTCCATCGTTTTGTTGTTTAGCTATTGACTTTCAGTAATGCTTACTAGTTAGAGTCGAACACAGGTGTAATGTCTACTACTTAGACTATAGTTAGAGACGACGAGTGGAAACACAGGTGACATGCTGTATCTGTTTTATTTCCTTATTTTGACGAGCTATCGGTCACTAGACTATGGTCATAATCTGATGGCTGAAATCTCGACAAAATAAATAATTTTGGTCAGTGATCTCTTATTATTGTGCCTCACAGCGCTTCATCCATTTGTGTGCTTGAGTTTCTGTTGGTTATTAACCTGTGCTGGACTATCTAGGGAAATATTTGAGTCTCGTGAGTTCAGATTCTCTGACAAACATGCAGTCTTGTGGTCACAACATCGTAGACACAATGCGGCCTCGGTCCGACGTGAAAGAGCGCTTCCGGTTTGAATATAAAGCTGGAGTTATACGAGCAACAAAATTGCTGCAACTTGCAACAAAATCTGATTTCAACGCATGTTAATTGAAAATGTTTACACATAAATTACAAATCACAAGGCAACATGTGTCGACGTTGCTACTTAACATGCGTTGAAATCAGATTTTGTTGCAAGTTGCAGCAATTTTGTTGTTGGTGTAACTCCAGCATAAGATACACCACATATTTTCCACTGGTACTCGAGTTTAGCTTGTAAGGGACATTTACAGGGAGCTCAAGAAGCAGTTTAGATAGATGAAGCTATCCAGTGTAAATAAAGTTGGTTCAGTTTTCGTTTTCCCACCCACTTGGTTATCAATTCACGCTGTTTAAAAGAATAAAATTGTCTTCATTGTGCAACACAAGATTTAAATATTATCCTCTTGAACTAATGATAAACTATGACATTAAACCAGCTTATTTGTCTTAACTAATAACTTAGTACAACCATATTTCATCAGAGCGGAAACTAAATGACTTAAGTAAGGAAACACGAAGGGTCTGTGAAAACATACTCCGCGAGACAATACTACAACACAAATCTAAACTATCAATTCAATCTGGGAGAGCAATGAACTCTATCTTTCAAAATATTTCTTTCTACATATGGTAAAAATTGGACATGATCGAAGTATTCATTTAATGATGTTTTTATGATTGGAACGTCATAGCGTCATTTCTGCACGAGGATAAACGATTTGTTGTTCTACGTTGTGCTGAAGTGGTTATTTATAAAGTGATTTATGTGCGCAATCATGTTGTGCAAAAATTGGCAAGCCTAATTTTGTCTGTTGGTTCGGTCTTGGTTTAGATTGGTTTTGTCTTTTCATAATTAGATTATGTGTTTTGCTGCTCAGTGTGCTCACTATAATTAGCCCTTGTAACGTTACTGAATTGAAACACAAATATGTTTCTCTGTTAATACTGTTGGGACTGTTGGTTGTCAGATGGTACTCAACTTCAGAAATTATTGTTGACATGTGTAGAAGCATGAAAATTAAACTATATCTCTCATTTCTATTTATTTTCCTCCAAAGACAAGACTACGAAATATAATGGAGTAACATAATATTGGCCGTTTTTATACTAGAGACGCATTATGCGTCTGGACGCATAATCCGTCTTCTACATTATTCGTCTAGTATAAAGAAGGGACGAATAATACTAGACGAATAATGTAGAAGACGGATTATGCGTCCAGACGCATAATGCGTCTCTAGTATAAAAACGGCCAATGCGACGAACTATCAGCATTTATTGTTCGTCTGGTTATGCGTCCTCAGTATAAAGACGGGCACAAGACGCATTATGCGTCTAGACGAACTATCATCGGTTGTGCGTCTCTTAAGACGAAGAATCGAACATAGTTCGTCTAGACGCATAATGCGTCTTGTGCCCATCTTTATACTAAGGACGCATAACCAGACGAACAACAAATGCTTG